ATGTTTTCTTCACGATCACATGGAATTCATCTTCTCTCGTGGCAGCGTGGGTTCATTATCTCCATTTCCTTTCAGTCAGGCGATATCAGTCCAGCAACACGGCTCTCTGTGTGTGACGACGTTATAACCGGTAACAGAGTTAGAGATTTTACTTTGGTTAATGTTCATTTCCCCCCCCACACCATATCTGAGGAACCATTTCTTCTCTCTGGCCACCCGGGGATGTCTTATTATCATGGTAATAGGTGAACCGCCACGGATATGACCACAGCCCGTGAGCCCGATTAAATCAAGATTCTGCCGTAGTAACCATGCACAGTGACCATAGCAACCATAGCCCACACAACTATACAGGTGTGGAATTCCAATAAAGCTGCAAACACCATTTGATCTTCAACTCAACAACGTCACCGTCACAAAAGCAAAAGCAGCACGATGCCTGAAGTGACGGACTGTTGTGGTTTGTCACCGCAGGCTTTTCACATGACACGCAATGCAACACAAGTCTCCCAACACAACGGCTGACATGTTGCAATTTCAGAACTACAAGCCAGTAGCCTTTGTTTACTTCTTGTTTACTCCCCCCCCAGACAAAAGCAGTACAAGCCAAAACCAAAACAAGCTTTAGCAACTCTTATTAATTCATAACATCATGACACCTCAATGCATCCGACTCTATTAAGTTTAGTTTTGACAACAATTCCCTCCTATACTGTCTAAGCAGCACTCCTTTGTATTCACAGCCACGACCCATGATGATTAATGATGATGATTAATGATTCATGTGCTGATGATGCCGTGTCCATTTAACCTACAAGACCCTGATTGTGTTTTAATAGTTCTTCCTTCTCAAACAGCCTGGTACGAAACCAGCAGTGACAGACTGAAAGTACTGAATCACTGCCTCAAACACGGACCGGCTGAAGGGTTAATGTTACTTTACAGATACCACCGTGCTCATTAATGGGGATTATAACACACACACATGCTGTACACCGTACAAGACAGAGCAAACCTCACCTTGTATAACACACAAAACTAACTGTGTTAAACCAACCCCATTTCCTCATATAGAGATGAATATATGAAGGGTGGTGGTTGTTGCGTCTGACATATTCAATCATAGAAGGTTAATTCTCGTGACGGCAGGCTGTATTTATTTGCATGCTCATAACTTGTTGGGTAACTTTGTGTAAACTCCTGTGTAAAGATTAGCAAACTTTAATCCTAAATGCATACTAGCAGGCATGCCTGTTGTTGCAGATTGCAGGATGAAAGTAGTGGACTTTAACAGTAATTGGTTTTCAAGTGGATGGTGGAAAGCACAGCACAGTGAATATTAATAAGGAGGGGAAATATTTGTGGCGCTGCTAAACACTGCTCTCTCTTTTTCGCCTTTGAATTTAACTGTCAACTAATGTTCTGGGAAAAAATCGCACAAAAGAAGCTCTGGGGACAAAACCCGGTTGCGGGGGCTCGACATGCAGCCGCATTAGCTTCAATAACAGACGCTATGTGGACAGTCTTAACACAGCATTAAGTCAAATGTTACTCCTCGCTATAACCCCAGAGCATCTTTAGTCCTACATATTGATAATACTTTGTGTAAATACTACAACTTCTCATTTACAGATCCACGTTAAGCTTTGTCGTGTGGTATATTAATCCCCAGAGAGCTTTGTATGGAATGCTAACGGAGACCTGCATGTATGAACACTGACTAGTTTCCTAACAAGATGGATTTTGGTTACAGCTGGCGTTGTGTTTGCAGTCCTCCTGCCGCACCGCCAAGGTTTCGCAAACACAAAAGTGGAAACCGGATTTGACAAGTAAAGATCCGGATTTAGTCAAAACAAACGCAGCAGTCGTGTTACCGCTCTCGCTGTGAGGGTCTGAGCGATTTGGGATATTAAGAAGTGTGTTAATATAATTACTGCAATCCTCAGACAAGCAGACCTCCCCCATCCAACGAAGAGCTGAAGGAACCGTGGAGGACGGATTACTCTGTCGGGGACTGAACTCCGCAGTAAAGCCGTCGACATTTGAGAGCCCATACATCAGCGCGGTAAAGAGCGAGCAGCAGGGATGCGACGCTGCAGCCCAGCAGAGGAGCGAAAACACCACCTGAACTACAAACGATGAAGTATGATCCTCCACAACGATCCCAGCCCCCACAGACGTGGAGGAGTTCAGGGGAACACAAACTGGTATACTCGAATATAAGATTGTGAACCAACGCGCCCATTTGGCAACTACAGAGAAATCACCGCAGGTATCAAGCTACGAACGCAGCAGATGAAAAAACAAACCCTCTCTGCTCCTTGTGACCTGAAGCGATACGTTATGATAATACGGAGGGTTGTGATAAACAGAACAGGCAACACGTTTCTCTTTCTGTCACTGTCAGCCACACCGAGCACTGTAGCAGATGTGCACACACACACACACACACACACACACACACCATCTTCTCTTCACAGATGAACAAACAAACTGCAGATATCTGCCCGGCGAAAGAGAAAACACAAGCCTCCCTATACAGTCATCCCAAATGCTGCTATTAAATGTGTGCGTCAGTTGCTGAGAACGACCTTGCATGGATGCTGCCCATTTGTGTGTAATCTCCAGCTCAATATCTGCACTGGGATGTGGAGGACGAAACTGAGAGGAGGAGAAACGGTACAAGACCCTGGACACGAGAATGGTGGTGTACCAGGAAGTGACTTAACAGAAAGGTGTGCGCAAAGGACAACACAAATGTGTCGTTCATCCACCCACATGTTCCACGCTCGCAATGAAAAAAGAAAGAGAAGCAGAAATTTGATTAATTTGCTTTAGTCAAACACCAGAGGGTCGGTGACGTTTTACAGGAAAAGCCATTTAATATTGAAGCCAATGCTCCACTCGATAAGAAATGTCCTCATGCGTAGGCTGAATACACATTACGGCTTAAACCACAGATGCTTCCATGTATGTTTTTTCATGTATTGCTACTCGAACGATTTAAATGTCTCTTTACATCTTGTTTTGTGAAAATCTAAGTAAATAACTGACATGCTAAAGGTTTTAAGTGATGAATCCAGAGGTATTTAAAACACAAAACGCCTTCACGATGATGCTTTTATTGCAGAGGGCCGCTGCTTGAAACTCTCTAAACACTACTGTTCATTTACTTCACTCTCTATACAGCCTGAAGAGCCTACTTGATAAAGTGTGAGTTAGCAGATGCTTTCTATTCCCCACTTATCTGGGATTATTCATGGATGCGTCTCCCTCAAGCGATAGAGAGGAACCTCAGGAGCTTGACTAAGGCCACCAGCGCTGACCCGAGCGCTGCCATCACAGCAAAGAAGGAGCAGGATGAAGTGCTTTACCGTTTATGAAGACGTGTCTAAATGATAAAAAGGGATTATTACTGTCCAGTTCTTAACTTGGGTGTCATTAATTGAAAAGATTAAACGTGTGATACAGGAGCTAGATCACATAGTGAACACAACACACAAATCAATGAATAGAATTGAGCAATTGGCTCATATTAAAAGTGCACGCCAGTATTAGGGAATCTCTACTTATTAGATTAGGAATGATGATCCAATTACATTGTGGGATATGGGGAATAAAATGCTGTAAAACATTATTTGTGTTCAAAGAAGCTGACAGTTTTTTTAAATCTGGATAAAATGAGTCCATAAATGAACTATTACTCCCTAAATATGATAAACTATGTGACTAAAAAAACAATAAAGATGTTAAAGTTTTTGTCCTGAATAAAAACTAGGACCCGCAAGAGGAAAATACATACATACTGAAGTGGAAATCCTTATATTCAAATTAAAAATTAGAATAAAATTTGTTGAGACGTTCTTCAGATGAAAGTGTCTTTTATCAAACACAAGCAGAGATGTAAACACACCTTTACGAAACAAACAAATCCTCCCACGTCGTCACAATTATTACACCACCAACTAAAACTGAAGAACATTGTGGGTCCATAAAAAGGTCACAACTCCCATAAGAGAGGGCTCACCTCCACTACCAGCAGCTACTAATGAGCACTTATGACGCAAAGACATCATTGTATTTATTGTACGAAGTCAGATTCTTTTCACAAAGTGATGAGGTAATATATATATATATATATATTATATATAATATATATATATATATATATTATATATAGAGTTATAGAGAGAGAGTGAGAGAAAGTACTTTGATTACAATATCCCCAAAATCCAATCAGTTTTACGCTGCTGAATAGCCTTTAGAATTAGTCCCAATTCACAGTAAGTAAATACAGTGTAAATGAAAATGATAAGAACTTAAAAGGGCACTCCTGTATCAGAATGCTAGAACACTCGACATCAGTAAGACAAATTCCCCCCGAAAAATGAGCTCTGGGAGCACGTGCCTGCCTTAATCCAGTCTTGTTCACAAAACCTTACGTTTTTAAATAGGCCTCACTGTGTAGTAAGACATCCAGAACCTGAGCTGGTCTACGTGTGGATCTAGAGTGAGCATTCTGAAACACTGAGTGTTACTACAAAACGCAGCTGGAACGTGTTTTTCTGCAAATATTATTTTGTTCAAATCGTTCATCTGGTAAAATGGAAGATTACAATGGATTGCAGTGGAATCCACAACAGGTAAACAACTACAATTGACGGATTCCCCAGAGTGATAAGTAGAATGGTGTAAGTCTGCCACCTAGTGGACAATATTATTACGTGCAATAAAAAAAAACTCACATGACCACTATACAAGGTTGCTGTGCAAAAACACTAACGCCCTGAATAAAAACGAACTTGCTAGAAATCTCTCTTGTTCCCAGCTGCAGATGTACTCATCATGTTGTCTCTGTGGATCGCGGCGGTCACAAAAAGCCGAGCAGCTGATCTGAATCGGGCCCTAATTGACTCGCGCTACATAAACAGCTGCTCATTAGCCGCTAATCCGGGAGAAGTATTCCTGAAGTACTTGGTGCGGCGTTTAAAGCACTAAATATTGCACAGCGTCCAAAAAAAAATGACTAATGATATATCTAAAAAGAAGGGGAAGAGTTCAGGTGAGAAAAAGGGCAAAAGAAAGGCCAAAAGACGAGAAACGTACGCGATGTACATCTATAAAGTTTTGAAACAGGTGGGTGGACGCAAAAAGGAAAAGCCCCCCCCCGTGGTTTTCCCCTATGTTGCATTATAACGTTATATTTTAAAACTAACTAGTGGTATTTCTTCCTTCGAACAAGGTCCACCCGGACACGGGGATTTCGAGCAGAGCCATGAGCATCATGAACTCCTTCGTGAACGACCTGTTCGAGCGGATCGCCACGGAGGCGTCCCGGCTGGCTCAGTACAACAAACGCTCCACCATCACCAGCCGGGAGGTGCAGACCGCCGTGAGGCTGCTGCTGCCCGGGGAGCTGGCCAAGCACGCCGTGTCCGAGGGCACCAAGGCGGTCACCAAGTACACCAGCTCCAAGTGACGACTTCCACCGGCTGGCGTGTGTTGAGACCTGGTTTCCAATAAAACATGAGCGCAGAAAAAAAAGGTTCTTTTGTGTTTTTCCTCTTCTTTTACAGGACGAGGCAGTGACGCGTATTCACCACTAGATGAGGCACTCGCACATCTTTACTGCGTCTGTGACTTGACACGCTTCCTTCTGTACATTAAAGCTATTGGTGAGATCGACTATGAAACGTTACAATCACCCAAAATACCTCAAACTTCTCTCAGGTTGCAGAAAACGTCAACCACCTTGTTTAGATCCACATAAATGTCCCCCGTCATAAATGTCCCCCGTCAATCTCTAAAGCAGGGACACCTGTGCTGCTTAGCGAGACACCGGCAACAGGCTGGATTCAGGTGTGGAATGACAGGTGAACGTGACGACACAAGTGGAGCCGTGTAAACGCTGCTCTTAGCTAGCCAGCTTCGTACCATGTTGATTCTTAGCACGTAGCTAAGCTCCCAAAGACGCAACCAAACCCAACTAGCTGAGTTACGTGAACATACGCGTAAAATAAGCGGCTAACGTTAGCTAGTTAGCTAACTTGTCAGCAGTCACTTATCGTTATTTAACTTTGTTTAACGTTAAACTATATCGGTAATAACCGTTCGTGTTTCAGTTCCGCCCCATGTGACGTTAGCTACCGTTAACTTTAAAACGTTAACGTAACGTTAGTATTTTAAGCGGCTGACGTTAGCAAAAATGTTAGCTAGCAATAGTTACAGAGGGCTAATGTTAGCACGGGCAAATCTTTCACCAACAAAACCACAAGTGTTGTTAGGCGACGCTTACCGGTGTTTTTAAACGTCTTCAGGTGTCTTTCCAAATAATACAAAATAAATGTCCCGCCTGACACAAAAAACAAGAGGAATTTTACATTAAACTTGTTTAAGTTGCAACTCAAAACAAAGATGGCAACCGGAAGTGGCTATTCTTTATTTTATATTTTTTCCTCTGAAAAAATTCCACCATAAAATGCTTCAAAAGTCATAATATATGACTTATTTTCTTCTTGCTGGTAAAGGAGTGTTTCCAGGGGGATGGCATTGCTCTGAGTTATCATCATGCACATAGAGACAGTCAATACTGGTAATATTTATTTTTTTTAAACCGAAAGGGTCTGTTTTAAAAGTAATATTTTTTTCACCTATGTCTTTTTTCAAAACCTGACTAAATCAATTATTCAGTTTGCTTTAAAAAGGTACATCTTTATTAACTGACAGAGTAAAATAATGCAACATTGCATCCTTGTTATGCATTCTAATCAGGGTTTTAAAAAAACAACGCTGTCGATTGAATAGTACTTGATTACAGGATAATGGCACTTGCGTTTGCACCAGTCTAATCTGCATAAAATGGAGGAACTGACAAAGGTCTTTCTAATTAGCATGGTGTTTAAATCAGGCTTTACATACACCAATTAGGCTACTCTTGTCAACATCCTACAAAGTCAGGCTCAGTGTTGTATTACAATTGGATGTAACTCACACCGCTTAATGTTATTGGTGAGATACTCATTTTAGATGTTTCCCTGATTCTTTGTAATGATGCAAAATCTGCAGATGTTATTATGAGGGTGATTCAGTCGTTGATGGCACTAACTTTGTTAATGATTATCATGCCCATTTAGGTTTTGTATCTTGCACCCTTCCCCATATCCCCTCTCGTGCCTATGCCTAGTGGTAGTCATCGCTGACTCCTTTAGGCAGACTGCTATGAACACATTATGGATGGATGCATTAGTGAGTGATGCAGAGCCCGGGCTGACTTGCCTTGTTTTCGTGTGAGAGTGCATCATTAGAGAATGTTCCACTTGGCAGGGAAGCGCGTATTAACTGCAACCGCAATGAAATGAGGTTGTGATAGATGGTTAAAGTTATACAGGACTATTAGGTTGAAATATGAACCTCTCAATTGTCATGATGAAACAAAGGGCTATTTGCGTGGTGATCAGTGCATTGAGAGACAATTGGAATCTGCAAAGACCAATTCGATACATTATAGGTAGAGGGCTCAGAGCTGAAAGAGTACAAAAAAGTAATCATACTTTCACAGAATAGTTTGGAGCTACTGTTCAATTCAAGGCCCTATAAATTAATTTAGGTTCTCCACCAACATCTCAAGCATCCTGATGAGACCTGAGGGAGATTTGCAAACATGGCAACTCGTCAAAGTCCCGTTGTGGACAGATGAGCCATATATGTGCAAGAAAACCAGGGATTTACTATCAAGTGTGCTCTAACGGTATTATGTGTGGGTCTACGTTAATGTGTCTGTACTGCCAGTTAATACAATATTAGGAAAAGGAGAATAAGCCAAGATTACAATCAGAATCAGCAGTTAAATGCATAAATTCAGATAATGTCGTTGGGTCAATTTAAGCCCGCTCGTCCTCTCATAATGTTTCCATAGTGACCTCTTATTCTATCAGAACTCAAAACTAAGAACCTGTTTCTCTTTAATTCCCTCAGTGTGAATAAAATGTGTAAATTACATATGAATTGTTTTCTTACCACCACAGACTTCACAAATGCCAGACAGGATCGTGCCTCCTGTGACAAGAATAACAATAGGTAATACATAAATCATTAATAACAGAAACACTTGATGAATAATTGATTGCTATGATGTCAGAGTGCCACTCTCTAAACTTTGAATTCTTTGGGTGCACTCTGTTTCAGATCCAATTGCAAAGCCATTAGCATGTAATTACTGTGTACATTTCATTATGTTCTCAGTATATTTAAATGGCTGCTCAGTGTGGATAGAGGGCTATAGTTTAATCTCTTTCTGTATTACTGTGTGCCACAGTACTCAAAACAGCATTAAGAGGCACATAATCAGAGGGAACTAATTGCCTATGATTGCATAAATGAAGTGCCTCACTCTCATCAGGCCTGTTGCTGATGTCCAGCCTCTCACCGCTTTGGAAGAAGAAGGTTGACCACAACGTAGAAAACCTCAGAGAGACAGCTTCATGTGGTAATATGAGGAAACCAAAGATTTAATATGTCCGTGGGGGGGCCGTGAGGCCAGGGGGTGTTACTACCGCTGATGTTTTTTTGTTGTCATCAAAGATGCCTCCGCTTCACAGAGGAAGAAAAAGGAAAGAAAAAAAGGAAACATGAATGCCTACCATTTGAGAAATGAATTTACCGAAGTCGCTGTCTTTTTCCCCATTAGTAAGTGTTTAGTTCAGCGTTTTAAATAATTGCGTTACCAGGAATGATATTTAAAATACATTTGGGAGTCAATGAGGCGGGAAAGTGCCTACATGTTTTGCTGATGACACCCGGGCCATTTGGAAGACATCAAAGTAGAGAGGAGGTAGCCCAGATGCATATTATAAACTCATTATGTATATCATTTAAAAGGATGTACTCCAGCCGCAAAAACAATATTCCTAGTCTCTCTCTGGTAATGTGTGTTTTCAAAGTTGAAACTCTTACTCGCCTTCAGTTTAATGTGGCATCTATTACCAAACTGTAACATAGAATAAATGACCTTGATTTCCATACCAGAACAGTCGTTAAGGTATAGATGAGAGGCAGTGATGCTTCTGCGTTTTCAAATGGGAAAGAAGGTAACACCTCTTCATAAATATCACGTATTTCTTCAGCTGTGGTGCCGACCTGGTTTTCCACAGCGCTCGCATGCCTTTTGGTGTACGCGAACACAGAGGTGGATGAACGCACATTCAAAAATCAACAATTTTATACATTGTGTGTCCAATACAGCAAATTTTAATAGAGAAGTGAATCACTCTGGAGAGTTAAAGGACCAGTATTTCTACCAGCATTGCAAAATGATGGTCCATCAGTCAAAAGAGATGTTTGTCAGATGCCAAGCTAGTAGGCTTAACAGGCTTAATTATGCGCCGTCCCTCCGCCATCAGAACGCTACACGTGGCGCAGAGTGACACAGCGGTCGCCAGTCATTCAACCTAATGTTCTAACGCAGGGAGCCATGTGGTTACATGAAATCCATTAAGGCAGCTTGAACGGAAAAAAAAACAGAGTGGAAAAATACATTTTGCAAAGGGGACACGATGAGGGCATTGTCATTTGCTCTTCCTGAAAGAAAAATGTCATGGTGAGGATTTGACCCTATCAAAAAAATGTTGTAAAAAATAAGTTTTAAGATAAAAGGCCAATAAATGTTTTGAAAAAAAGAAGTCCAAATACGTTGGGCAAAATCATGGAAAAAAATATTATTAGGTCACAATTATTTTAAATGTTAAAAAATGTCATCAATTGAAAAAGTAAATGTTGAATAAAAATTTCAAAATATGTTACACTGGAAAATGTCATGGAAAAGAATGTTTTTTTTGTCAAAATTTGTTCGGTTGTTTGGAAAAAGTAAAAATATGTTGTGTCAAAAAATATGGAAATAAAAGTAAAAAGTATTAGGTCAAAAAATGTTTTGAAAAAAAACTCAAAATATGTTTGGTCAAAAAATATGGAAAAAAAGTCATATCAGGTCAAAAAAAGTCATAATCTAGTCTAAATATGTAATGTCAAAAATGTAATGGGAAAAAAATATATATATTAAGTCAAACTTTAAAATGTAATGCTATCTATATTTTTGAAGAAATCAAGCCTTGTCTAAAGATTCTACATCATTTCATAAATATATGTTCTATCGCCCCCTAAAAACAGCGTGTATCCTAGTTTATTGATACCTGCAGCTTGACAGACAATTCATGGCTGTAACTTTGCAGGAGGCAAAGGAGAGGCTCAAGTGTCTGCATGTGAGGCATAAAAATAGCGTTACTTGTGACACTGTAGGGAGGGTCTCATACCAAAAATATCACAGCAACTCACAGCCATCAGGCACGTAGTGGACGTGAGCCAGGGTGAAAAAGAAACTACACCTGAAGCATAGATACAGGCCTATTTAAGCTGGCGTCCCTTATTTAATCCCACACATCCTCTTTAGACCTTAGCATGTCACGAGATAGCTTCGTCTTCACGTCCTCGGCCTTGCGCTCTTTCGAAGATGACGAAGACGTGCTGGAGAGACAAAAGTACAAGAAACAGCTGGCCGGCCATCACTTCAATCGCTATATGCTGAAGAAGGAGCTCAGGGACAGGGCACCGCTGAGTTCCAGCACTTTAATGCCACCAGCTGTCTGCCACGATTCGGTCGTCCAGAACGCTCTGTACACGGGAGACCTGGAGGCGATGCAGCACCTCTTTCCCCGAGGATCCACAGCAAACCTCATCGTCGAGCCACAGGGAGGGGACATGCGCTGGGTCGCCGCAGGGGACGGTAAGAGACAACATTTGTTGTTCATTAGAAATACAGCCGCAGTAGAAAGTTCAGTGTATCTAAACTTTTGACTGGTAGGGTAAAAATGTGTGATTTTGCACAGCAGTGTGGCTCTTAATTGTGTTTCCTGGAGATTAGCGATCCAAAATGAACAAAAGTCAATCGCTGCTTTAAAACTTTAATATATGACTGCAAGCCGCATGTCACCGGCGCTTCCTGAGCCATGTAAGACACAGCGATGGGATATTTATAGAAAAGAGCACAAGGCGATATTTATAGCTGCCATCATGTGTCCACCACATAAACAAACTCAAGAGTTGGAGTCAGTTGTGGTGCATCACTGAAGACCGGAGACAAAAACATAAAAACTAACTAACTAACACTTTAAGTTTTGCATTGCAAGGTTTGCATTGTTGAGTAACTGCAGATTAATGGTCTGTAAAAAAAAAAGTTAAAATAGTAAAAAGGTTTAAGTATAATAACGGGCCTTTGCAACACTGGATGTTGCAAAAAAACATTTCAATTGTAAAAACGATGTATCTCCCCTGAACTACTTGAGTGCGAGAAAGTATCCAGTGACCAAAGTGAATTAGTGGGCAGATGACCTGAAACAGCGCAGTCATTGGCTCTCATGCCACTGCACTGGCAGGGCTCCTCAGGTCAAGCAAAATACCACATAGCGTCTCCCTAAAATAGCCCCGTCTGCACAAACAACCATCACAAGCCGTTATTTACTCCAGGATGAAGCAGCCTGCTAAACCATAAAAACAAACAATCCAGTGAGCGCCAGCATGGCCTACGTATCACCGCCGTTAAAGTGGCACAAGCCGAAGAAGTACCGCAGCGATGTGATCGCCACAGCCAAGGCTTCGGGTTGCGTGCTGCAGTTCTGGAACTCCCTGATTGTTGGTGATGAGCTGACGGCTCTCAGCATCGTGGACGACGACGACTACGAGTACCTCATCGATGCCATTTACGACACCAGCAACATCGAGGAGTGGAAGAACTTCAGATTTAACTACAGGGGCCTGAGTGGGTTTATCAGAGCTAAATCGAACTGGCCAGTTCTGCCAAACGGTTTACGGTCTCTCTGGTTTGTGTGTGTTCTAGAGTGCTGCATGGATGACGTAATTTTGTAGGCCAAACTCGGGAGTGAGCACAGGTTTCCTGGATAAAAAGCCGGTGGAATTTTTCCATTCGGTGTTGGATTATTGCGGAGAGAAGGTCTGGGCCGATCGCACGATGACGATACTAAAACGTTTTGTTCAGCAAGCTAATTTTTGCTAACAAGCATTAATGATTTTTGAAGCATGAAAACACATGGCAGAAGAAAAAAGGTAACTAGTTGGAGTGATGGCGTTTCGTTGTCTAATTTAGCCACTTGTTGACTATGCTTCAAAATTCACGAGTGGGATGATTTCTGACGTATGTAACGGTGTAACACTTTGAGTCCAGGGAACGGGAAGTGCAAAAAAAAGCTTTAGGTCATGTAACCATTAAAAACGTGCACAGCGCACCTGCTTATTTCCAGCGCTCTCAAGGGTCGAGCTCAAAGTCGACTTGACATCTCGCTCTCTGCAGGACTTTGGTCGCTGAGTTATGAGCAGGAGCTGACCACGCCGCTTCACATCACGGCCAGCCGAGGCTTCACCGACTGCCTGAGGCTCCTGCTGCAGCGGGGGGCCGATGTAGACCTGGCCCCCGGGGGCACCACCGCGCTGCACGAGTCCTGTGAAAACTGCCAGCCAGAGTGCACCAAACTGCTGCTGATCCACGGCGCCAACGCCAACGCCGTCACAGAGGATGGCTTGATGCCGCTGCACTTTTGCACAAGCCCCGAATCCCTCGAGTGAGTCAAGTCAATGTAACAAGCACGAGAGGAAAGTCAACGTCAGTTATTACAGCATTTTCCCAAACATTATCTGATAGAAATTGTTGAATCAGATCACTGGAGGAATGCATGAAATGTGGAGTCTCTGCACCTTTTGTACATAGATGCCTCTGTCTTTGTGTTCTAACTAAGACAGGACAATGCTTTGTAACTACATAACTGTAATAATATCCATGTTTAATGGGATCCAGTTTAACGTGGCCTTGTGGTGTTGACGAACGGTTACTTCATCTGGAAATCTGCCCGCAGATGTGCCAAGAACCTCCTTCAGTACGGGGCGGCGATCAACGGTCGCACCCTGGATGAGAACGACACGCCCTTACACGTGGCGGCCAGCAACGGCCTCCCGGGCCACGCGCAGCTCTACCTGCGCTACGGCGCCGCGGTGGACAAGCAGAACAACGAGGGCCTCACGCCCCTCATCGCCGCCTGTTCGCAACCCCAGGAGGCGCGGGAGCTGGAGCGCTTCTTCAAGGTGTGCCAGGTGCTGCTGGAGGCCGGGGCCGACGTGCACACCGTGGACCAGGACAAACACACTCCCTTGCACATGGCTTGTAAGAACGCGAACCCGGACGTAGTGGATCTGCTGCTGGCCAACGGGGCGTGCGTGAACGACATGGAGTACGGCGGCGAGGCGCCCATGCACAACATCCTGAAGGTGGTGTGCTACAAGCTTTCCCATCAGCCCGAGAGGATCGTACGCGCTCTGCTCAACCACGGGTCCATCCGGGTGTGGCCTGGAGCTCTGCCCGTGGTAGGGAATCTTACAATAACACAGTATAAAATGTGCGAACATGTATTCCATATTAGCCAAGGCGTTCCACATTGGTTTGAACTGGCATGTTGTATTTTTTGCAGGGCCTAATTATTCATCAAGGCGTCTCATCTTGCATAATTAACACGTACTGCGAATGCAACATCTTGAGAAAGAGACACGAAACTCTAAACTGTTCCTTGCAATGTTCCAGACTTCACAACTTCACATTCAAATCATTCCCATTTCGTGACACAACATGAAGTGTTGCACTCTGCGGGAAACAGACTACAACCATCAGTGAACCCACGTGCACTAGACAAAATGCCTGGTTCCTAATTAGGCATGTGTTAATAGGAGATTAATTAGCACTAATTGCATAATTTCCAGTTAAACCCCTGGAGGGAAGACCAATCTGTTCATTTCACAAGTGTTTAATTACTTTATTTCTTCAGTTCTATGGAGTCACCAGCCCACTCATGAACTTAAATGATGATTATATGAATCTGTGCTCTGGTTGTGGTGTCTCCGTGCAGGTTCTGAAGTACTGCTGTGGATCTCCACGCACCGTCGAGGTCCTGCTCAACGCCTACAGTCACCTCAAAGTCACCGACGCCTGGGTGGAGTCCGTGTCATCGGAGGCGTTGAAGGCAAGCCTGTTAAATAACAAATTCAAGAAGTTAGGCCCGTTTTAAATGAAGACACTTTTTCCCCATAAATACGCCACATTATATAAAGCGTCCTTTGTCTCTTGTTGAATTTCTACATGGCAGTTGCACTGACAAACGACGTCACCTAATCTCATCTGTCTGACCAGGAGCACAAAGGGTTCTACGAGTCGGTCTTCTCGTTGGCCCGGACCCCTCGCTCCTTGCAGCACTTAGCACGCTTCAGGATCAGGATCTTCCTGGAGGACCGGGTGCACAAGGTGGTCCCCGAACTGGATCTGCCCACCGCCATCAAGAACTACCTGCTCCTGGAGTACAGAGACTACGTCCACTGAATGCGTTACCCATGTGAAGAAGGCACTAACACACTTCATAGGTTTGAATACATGTTTGGCCACACGTGTTTTGTTATTTGTATTCCAGTGTGAGCGACACATTGGATCGTGCACCACAAGAGGGAGCTGTAGACTAGAGTTGTTCAAATACTTGGTCCGTGTACAATATGTTTTATATCTTACCATTAATTTAAGAACACTTACTGTGCTGGTTTGATGTTAATGGGCATAGTGATGATGTTTGGAATATTGAGGATTGATCCTAAATACTCACAGAAATAATTATTCCCAACAGTAATAATGTAGCATTTATATAAAAATAAGGCTTGATGTAAAATAAAATATTCTATCATGTCTCTGTAGTCTAGTCATAGATTTTTTCTGTTGTCTTACATTTTTCTCTCTTGCTTTCTATACTTTCTATTCTATACTTTTATATAAATAAAAAGAAGTATGCATATTTAAAACCATTATCAAACTACACTTTGAATAAACACATGATGGAAGTCCAACTATAAAACAACTGAAACTACAGGACATCGTGTGGCGTAACGGTTGTAATTCATGCTTTCATAAAAAAACGTTACAAACAAGTTGTCAACCTGTTATATGATAAAAAAAATTAAAATAACAGATGGAATTGATTTGTTGCTCCTGTGTCAGTCTCTCACATTAGACATTGACAAAAAAAACCGTTAGAACATTGCCACATGTTAATCATTGCTGACTTCATTTAATCCATTTTTTTTATTTTTAAACTCAATTGTTTTAAAATAAAGAAACACCATTGAACAAAACGCCCAGCCCTCCTCATAGAAATATGTCTGTATTTATTTCTATGTGTATATATATATAGTTATAGTTATATTTAGTTTGGTATCTCCTGTTTCCCGCCTACTGATCAGAAAAATATCAAAAAGATTAAAATAATAAACGTTTTATGTGAATGTGATTTGGTCCTAAAAAAACGTGACAAAAAAATAAAAATAGAACACAATACAAAGGACAAAGTGGAGCTGAGTGACATCAGGGTTCCTCTCCGAAAGCAAAGAGAGAGGAGCTGAACGAGAGAGAGTCACTTGCAATTATAAGAATTAGCCTGTCCGGGCCCCGCACCGCTAATCAGAGTCGGTGTGGTATGTTTATGTCCTCCTGCAATCAGGGGACCGGTTGGAGAGCCCGGGGCCCCGGCACTCAATGGGGCTAATCATCATCAGCTCACGTTGCCATTTAAAAGGTGAAATGATCTGCGATTAAACCTCTGCTTAAAGAAAAGAGCACAGATTATTGTGTGTGTGTGTGTGTGTCTTTTTGTATCAGGAATACGTTACAACTCCCAGAAAACCGGTTGCATTATTTCATTTATACATATTTTAAACCGTGGATGGATGATTAAGGTGGCAGCTGCAGGAGACGTTAAACGTTTATCACTCATGATCATCTTTTTTAAAACAACACCGAATCACTCAAATCTGACTTTGTCCATTTGACCTAAACGCCTTTTATCTGCATCTCATTTCGCGGTGGAGTATCACTCTCCAGGGAGCAATTCTCCCCCTCTCTCCCCCCCTCTCTCCCCCTCTCCCCCTCTCTCTCCCTCTCCTTCCTGAAGCCGAACGCATTGTTTTTTTGGGCCGCGGAGAATCGGGACAGAGAAGCGGGGAAACATCTGCCTCTCCTCCCGCCCGACCGCGGTGCCCGTCGGGCCCGGAGACCCTCAACAAAAGCCGCCGCCCGTTTTTCGCGGCGTCCCCTGAATGTGGAGTAATTACTTATCATCAATCAAAATTAAAAATAGCTGAATGGGTTGGTGTGGTCACCGATTATAGAAGGGGACGGGCTGCAGCAGTCCCTCACCGCGCTCTGCAGTCAATGGTGATCCTCGCAAAGGGGAGGAGGGCTTTGAGGGGGGGGAAAAGGGGGGGGGGGGGGGTGTACCAATTCCAAAGAAACTCCTCTTAGGGGTGACAAAAGACCTCGAGGGCGAAAAAAGACATAGAGGGGTTACTTAAGGAACATGTCTATAACCACGCTGCGAGAAAATCCCCCAATTGTTTCCCCTTGTATTGCAGATGATAACCGATGGGCGCGCTCTCTCTCTCTCTCTCTCTCTCTCTCTCCCTCTCTCTCTCCCCCTCTCTCTCTCACACGCACACACACGCATTCACAGGGGAGGGGGTAAACAGACAGAGAGCGCGTGTTTACGTCGGGCTGTGCGACAATAAGAGGGGAAAGTAGCGGCGGGCTCACAACAGAGCGCCGGACGCACACAGAGCGCAGGAGACCCGGAGATCCACTCCGGCACGGCACGGCACGGCACGGCGCGGGACCTACTTTCCTCCACCACGTCTGTGCACTGAAAGTTCTGTGCGTTTCCGAGAGGAGGGAAGGAGAAAGAGGACACCTGCCTTCCAAGTTTTACACCGATTTTTTTTTTTTTTTCAAAGTGTGGTGTTTTGCCCGCAGAGATGCAGAGACCCGGCGGCCAAGGGACGGCGTTTTCGATCGATTCCCTGATAGGAACCCCACAACCCCGACCGGGACACCTGCTCTACACGGGCTACCCCATGTTCATGCCCTACAGACCTCTGGTTATTCCACAAGCTTTATCCCACGCGCCTTTATCCTCCGGCTTACCTCCGCTCGCGCCCCTGGCTTCGTTCGCGGGGCGGCTCACCAACACGTTCTGTGCCAGTTTGGGACAGGGGGTTCCGTCCATGGTGGCGCTCACCACCACGATGCCAAGCTTCTCGGATCCTCCGGATAGTTTCTACCCGCCACAAGAACTCCCGGGTCCCCGTTTGAGCGCCGTGGACCCCGCAGCGAGGAGGCAGGGGAGTCCGCACTCCGACGACCTGCACAGCCGGGACAAGAGCTCCGACCTGCTCAACTTCTCGGAAACTTTCCAAACCATATCAGGTAAACGGCCTCATTACTTATTGATGTGTATGTTAATTATCAGGTGCGAACCCCTCGAGGCTGTGGTGTAAATACACAATAAACAAATGTTAATGATATTAGAGCACACATTCCTGGGGTGGAACCCAGTGAGAGTTTAACTCTACAATCTGTCTTTCCGGATCCATTTATTATTTTGCTTTGCCTTCGAACTGTTCTTCAAATTGGAATGCACATTTAAACACGTTTTGATGGGAAACATGCGTGTGGTGATCTTGCAGGCAGATGAAACGAAACCTGCGAGAATTTACAGAAAAACACAGTTTAATCACAGGGCATCTGTAAAAAAAAAGGCCCCAAAAAGAGTAGATCTTACGTTTCTTCTGATGTATACACAGTTGGAGTGTTATCAGCTCATCGGCTTTTGGCAGCTTCCTAAAAAAGAACACCATGGTTGATGTCCAGCGTTTGTGGGTCTGTTCGTGGGTCTGTGCGTAATGGTCGCTGTTTGTGGGTCTGTGCGTAATGGTCGCTGTTTGTGGGTCTGTGCGTAATGGTCGCTGTTTGTGGGTCTGTGCGTAATGGTCGCTGTTTGTCGGTCTGTGCGTAATGGTCGCTGTTTGTGGGGTCAGAGTGACTCAAACGTCTCCTTCTCCTTTCCCATCTCCAAGGCGAGACCAAACTGTACAGCTCGGACGACGAGAAGCTGGACCTGAAATCCCGCGGACGCGGCGTGCAGCGACCGGGAGGACAGCTCCGCGGACAGCGAGAACGAAAGTTTCTCGGACGGCAACAACTGCGGCTCCGCGCTGTCCCAGAAGAGCAAACTCAAAACGGGCTCGCAGGAGGCGCTGCCGACCGGCGGCTCGGCGGGGAAGAGCCGCCGGAGACGGACGGCTTTCACCAGCGAGCAGCTGCTGGAGCTGGAGAAGGAGTTCCACTGTAAAAAGTACCTTTCGCTGACCGAGCGCTCGCAGATCGCGCACGCGCTCAAACTGAGCGAGGTGCAGGTGAAGATCTGGTTTCAGAACCGCAGGGCCAAGTGGAAACGGATCAAAGCCGGCAACGTCAACAACCGGTCGGGGGAGCCGGTGAGGAATCCCAAGATCGTGGTGCCCATCCCCGTGCACGTCAACAGGTTCGCCGTGAGGAGTCAGCACCAACAGATAGAACAAGGGAGCAGGCCGTGAGGTCGGAGAAGATCGAACGTATCAAGCATTTTAAGAAGAAGAAAGAAAAAAACATTTCCATTGACTTCCACCGATTCGTTGAGCGCATGAAGCACAAACTCGGAGGATCTCTGAGAGGTAAATGCCGAGCAGAGGAGAAGGTTTTGCTCGCAGATCTGATCTCGAATTATTTGGCGATACCGCTGTTGTTGTTTTTTATTTTATTTTTATTTATTGCTGTGAATATGTAAATATAAATGGGTAAAAATTGGTACAAATGGGCACTATGAGACGAGACTGTAAAGATTTTTTTAAGTATTTATATGTTGGGCCAAACCGTTCTGTTGGTTACGTGCATGTCCTCATTCAACGAAGCGGGATTTTCCTTTTGTGTTTCGTACAATTTGATGACCACATTTGCATGTTAGACGTTTTACATTTTGTTTGGCATCTGAAGGAACCATCTTTAACAGCTATTTGTGGGGACAAGAAAGAAAAGATGTGAAGGAAATAATGACCAAACAAGGGACAACTGTAAAGTATATTGATCTAATAAATCGCTTTATATGAAAGTTGAAATCCAGATTGAATTATTATTGTTTAGAGGGAGTAAATATGTTTAACCTATTTAAATAAAATACATTTATCGACTCAGTACAAACTGCGGTCAGGTGGCTATTTTGATTTACATTTTTTAATTAAAAAAAGAATGCCCCCTTAAAAAAATTATACAATAATATTAAATATGTTTCATATTTGTGAAGGTTTTTACTGAAAAGCCGCTTCAGCAGCACACAAATGGAATGTGTTGTTTGATGCATTATTTTTCCCTTACACTCGTTACATTGGAATTAATAAAAAAAAAACTGAACTATCCGTAAAGGTTGATAAATATATATTTTATAGATATATATATTCAAAAAATTAGCAACAGGCATGAGTTCGGGAGGCCACGTTGTCTCTGATGGATCCTCATTACACTGAGCACCTTAAACACACTGATCTCACCTTCCAGGCACCAAACCGAGAGCAGCAATTGCTAATCGGTGAGCTTTTATTTTGGTGAATTAAAAAAAAAAATCCTAACAAGACGGGATTTATTAGGATGCATTTAGAAGCTTTAAAACACATTTTAAAAATTAAAGACCATAATGTTGTTTCTGTGGATTCAATACGTCAATACAATTTCTTCATGGATATCGATTTATATCGATTTTTAGTTTGATATCTTGACACCTGTGTGGGTACTTTTTAGAAAATAAGAGCGTATTAAAACATGTATAGGTACTTTTTAGAAAATAAGAGTGTATTAAAATTAAATTTTAATGCCCCTTAATGTTAACAAAGATTATTATGAGAGATAAAGCAACATTTTCCAATGTTGGTTTTCATATTAAGAGACACATGCAGCCCATGAATCAAACGGAGAACTGAGCTATTTACACTCACTCCCCTCATCTTCAAAGATCCGGAAAGGCCAATACGGAAACGTACACGGCAACGGAAAAACATGGAGCTGCAATGTTCAAATAATGTATAACTAAAATAATGTTTAGCCACACAGCGATCCAGTTACATGAAAAGGAAAACAGGGCTCAGCTTTTGGTGGAAGCTTTCATATGCAGGTTCCTGAAGGGTTCTCTGAACTGTTTCCAGAAAAGTCTCATGTTGGAATAATTTCAGTTCCGCTCAGATGAGAGACTATGATTGGTTTTCACTTTTCCAAAATAACCTCCTGTTGGAAGAACTGCAGCAGCACCTGTTGAAGTATGATGATGGGGCCAAATTCCTCAATCATTTATTAGCATTCTTGCATAAATATAGAACATGGAAGGTTTATATAAAGAATATGATGGATCACAGGAATTTCCATCAAGCCTGTCATGGAATGCACACACTCGACATGACTGCTGCCTCAATTTGACCTCAGACCCTTTGTGACCACGGCGCCCCCGAGTAGTAGTTTATTCCGCCGCCCGACTCACTCGTCAGGACTGTGACACTTGGATGGGAATTCAATTGGTCATCAGACGTTTTATTACGGTCAGAGAGCTGACTAATGCGGACGGTCGATTCCACGACGTTGTGCCAGAGTGCAGCGGCTATTTCGGCTCCGGGGGGGAGGTGACGGCGAGCAGCCGTGGCTCAGGCACCAAGGTCATGGCGCCTGTCGTCATCAGGATCCGGTGGGTGGGACTGTTTTATAGCTCCACGATGACAACAATTAACCAAACGGCTGAAATGGTGTCGGATTTCCTTATTAAGATCAATGAACAACATCACGGGCCTCGTGCGTTTTGTGCATATTTGTTAATCCTTCATGGGTTTTAATAATCCCTCTTCTGTTCCAGCTACTGCGTAAGTGGACACCTCGGTCTCAAGGCAGCACCTGTATCCTTTCACCATTCTGCTACGCAAATTGAAATATCAGAGGTTCTCGCCAGCGAAGACGTTAAACCATTCGCACACGTTTCCACCTGGAGACAGGGAGGCAGGGAGGCAGGGAGGGAGGGAGGGAGGGAGACAGGGAGGGAGCTCATTACTTGCTGCTCGTGCGAGAGCAGGCTGCTCGGCGTCAACTGCGGGGCCCGACTTGTTGGGAGGGTCCGGGCGGCCGCGGCTGCAGTGATGTATGGGCAGATGCATCAAATCGCACAAGATAAACAAGCGATGAGTTTCATCAGGGCCATCATAGCTTTAATTTGGCTGCCTAATGAGTCAGATCTAGTGGCGGAGATAAGAGTTGTCAGAGGCCCGGCTCTAATGAATTTCTTGCCACTTGTAATCAAGGTTGCCTGTCTGAGGGGGGATGATTAATGGAACCCTGGAGGATTCCCTCGGCCCTCAGCCTTCATTACAGCTAATGCATTCTCAGGCAAATTAACAGAGAAATGCAGGCAAAAGCCACACGGGGAAGGAGAGAGGAGAGAGAAGGGGGGAAGGGGGGGGGGAGTGATGTGAGCCGAGCGTTTATGTAAGACAAAGGAGGAGGGAGAGCGAAGGGAGGACGAGGAGGGAGACGGAGCGCTGCGGATGAAACGGGGGGAGAAGAGCGGGCGGCGGTGGGCTGAGATCCGCCGATTAGCGACGGGGGTCGGAGGACATGGAAATGAGGACGCGAGTTTGGGGGCAGGCGGAGAGGGGAGCGGAACGGTCTGACGTGATGGAGCTGGAATTGATATGTGGACATTCAGGGGGCGGCAGAGGGTGGTGGTGGTGGTGGTGGGGGGGGGGTCAGGAGAGCAGAGATGGTCGGATGGAAGGAGCAGAGTGGATGTAATCGTCGGTTGAAGAGGTTAAAAGGGTGAGAGGAGGAGGAGGAGGAAACAGGGAGCAGCTCGTCCAAATGAAGACAAGCTGACACAAAGACGTGAGACTAACGGCGCCGCCAAGCAACATTCGGGCCGCGGCCGCTCGCTGAGCGGGCGGCTTAAGTGGCCAAGAAGCCGCTTGCGCGTTATGGAAATATGTATTTAATGTTTGCAAATAGGGACTCGTCAGGCCTTTGTGTAGCCATCCATCAGCCTCAGACCCACCTCTGCATCTGGGAGGCAATTTGTCTGAGAAGAGGTGGGCGGCGGAGAGCCCTCCTCGCTGTTTAGCGCCCCCCGCCCCCCCCCCCGATGAAATATCAAAACCGGCACGGCCGAGCACGCGAGCGCTGCAGTCTCGCCACGACAAACACAAGCGGCCCGTCTGTCATTTATCACAGGACGCGCGGGAGAGGCGTGAAGGCCACGTGGTGCAGTTTAGGGTCATTTAAGGCCTGGAAACCGTACGATATTCAAAGAAGACCGAGACGTCACGCATGAGCTGCAAAAGCATTTTTAGCAGCTTTTTCTTGGGTTTTTTTTCCAGTCAACGTTTTAGGTCGAGGTCTAAAGCTCAACTGCCCGGCACCAATTTACACGCTAACCATGTGCTATGTTAGCACATGGTTAGCGCCTAGCTGGGGAACAGTTAGCCACTGAGGAGAATGAGACTTTCTACAGGTCAAATAGTTTAAAAAGTGAACGTTGCGCTTCCGTTTATCAGGGGGACACGTTACAGAAAGTTTACTCCTCATCTGCTAATCAAATAAAGATAAGTTAATAGTTCAAAACTAATTTACTTTAAAGTTGAAAACACACGTATTCCACAGCAGGGGGGCGAGTTGACAGTAACCAAACAAGTGCATCGAATTCTGATTCAAATATTACTCAATCCTGACTAGTTCAGGGACATTTAATGTCAGAGAAACAAAGACATGTCTCCTGTGAAACGTCCACACGGTGCTCGGGCTCCAGAAAGGAAGCCGATTGATGAAATGAGTTTTTTCGGGGGCCGCAAAGCGCGACGGAGGATTGTGTCTCCGTGTGGAGTCACTGCCGCGGCAGGAAGAGGCTCCACCAGAGAGAGAGAGCCGGTGATGAAGCGCAGACAAAGGCGGCCAGCAGAGAGAGGAAGGGGATGAAGATATGCTGAGAGCAGATTAGCGGGATATAAGAAGTAGATTAGTGAGGGCTCGACTCCTCTCAACACTGAGACCTTTCGCTTTTCCCCTCGGCGTTGCGCTGCCTGACACTAAGCCCGGCTCTTTATCTTAATCCTCTTTCAGGAAGCGGTTGGGGGTCCCGCGAGCAGGAAGTGGAGGTTTCTTTACTTACCTCGAGACGGGCTCGGGTGATCGGCCTCGTACACATTCACGGGAATCCTCCGGGGAGGTTGGATTTCTCCAGGAAGTGAGATAAAGGAACATGCAAAAGGGGGGGGGGGGGGGGGGGATGAAATGGCCGTGCTTGATGAAGGGGCTTTTAATTTGAAGGAGGGTCTCGCGCCGTCAGAAGGTCACGCACAAACAGGAGCGGGCCGGATGGCGGACGGACACACTTACTGGACAGACGTGTGGATCTCCCCTCGACGCAGGGAACTACATCTTTTTATTTGAGTGTTTATTAGTAGGTCAACAATCAGCCGAGCATCCAAGCATACAACAAGTTACTCGTCAGCTCTCGCTGCGTTTCACGTCGTCAACGTAAAAGGAAATACAATAGGAAAATGAACAACAACAACAAAAAAAAACAAGGAAAAAGATATTTACAAACTGCATTATAAATATGTCAAATGTACATCATTATACACAAGTACCCGAGATGGTCGGTTCGTGTGGAGACCAAAGAGAAGTACCTTAAAGGAGGAACACAACACAACATATGGAAACAGGGTTCATGGGTCAAAAGGAGCCGTTGGCCTAAAACCGTTTAGCTCGTTTGTCTTCAGATAAACGCACCGAGCCGATATTCACGCGTCCACGCCGAGTCTTCTAGTGTTTTCTTCTTCATCCACATTGCAGATGCTTCACTGTACACATTTAACTGATCGTTAATCCCCTCGGACGCTGAAAGAAGTCGGTGCCAATCAAATCTCAAGCTTTCTGATTCAATTTGCAGTCGTTTTTTTGATATCTGGAAGAAACAGGACTTTTTAGGGAAATGTGCTTTTCTGCTTTCTTGCTGAGCGATGGATGAGAAGGTCCAGGACTCTGCCGCGCCCGAGCTTTGCGTACGGAGCTGGAGCCCGGAGGCTATTAGCTTAGCTTAGCTTCGTTAGCACAAAGGCCCGGAGCTAAAACCTGCGGAGCATAAAAATGAACATGTTCTTTCTTGTTTGTTTAATCTGAACAAAAAACCCAAATGACAATGCGTGTTGTTAGAGCGCGGCCTAACTTTAGGCTAAGCGAGGCTAACCGTTTGTTAGGCTAATTCAATCCCCTCCCGGCACCAGCGCCGAACAAAAGCACATCGAAGAAAGCATATTTCCCAAAATGTCAAATCTGTTGTTTTACAAAATCCCCGTCCCATTGATTTACACACACTCCTCCTTCACCACATCTTCAAAACAGGAAACACAATCCTGATCGTAAGGCAGACAAACATCGTGCCTTTGTAAACCAAGTTTAAATAAAATCAAGTTTAGACCAAAGGTCAATTCAATAAAACACAGAAGCCAACTTCCACTTCTGCGATCTCGTGGTCACTTCAGTCACTTGAATGCGTTTTGTTAACCGCCCTCTTTTCGGCTCACACACAGGTTTTAACGGAAAGCCAGAGACGGCGTCTTGCGAGGAGGAAGGCGAGCGAGCGGCAGCTACTTTCTACAGACGGCGGTACATTGAAACTCATTCACGTTCATCCTTTCTGCGAGGAGCGTGACCAGAAGACGTACAGTAACGCACACGCACACGCACACGCGGTACCACAGGTGAATTTCACAGCGACAAAAGAGGCTCTCGCTGCTTCCACAGGAGGACGATGGCTGTTCCCGTATCTACGTCCAACAATCAGCAACACAATCGGAAAGAATGACCCTCAACAAAGACGTCGCTGATGGTGCGATTTCACCGCTCCGATCGAACGTCTGAGTTTGAATGAATTTTGATTGAAGAGGCTCGATGGTCATAAAACATCATGCCCCTTAATTCCTTTGTAGTCACAGACACTCCTGCGGGAGGGTCGCGTCCAGGGAGGCGAAGGGAATGACTCACTTCTCCCCCCCGATAGGAATTCCGCAATCAAGTCCTTTATGATGATCTGAACCCATTTTCCTGTGAATTAAGTATCTAAATCATTTGGACTCTTCAATTATCATTGCTTTGCCTTTGTATATGAATAGCATGTCATGAGTTTTGATGGCGGCGTTGAGGACATGCATCATTACTAAAGCTGCAGCAGCCATTGAGATGGCGGGAGATTTAGTTTCTTTCCCACATCAGTGTTTTGTCACAACTATTCCTCACAGTTTCGTGTTATTATGCTTAGCCGGGGAAATTCGAAGGAAATTTCTCATTTCAAGCTCATTACAAAGCAGTTTGCGTGGCGGAAAGGGGGGAAGACATAAAAGGAAATGTTCAAGCATTAAGGAAATGCTTTTCGTAGGGGAGGTACGAATGCAAAACGAGTCATTTGTTTGGTTGGCGCTTAAAAAAAACAACCTAAAAGCTTAAAGCTGATCGTGATCATTTCAGACCAAGATTGAACAAACTCAAAAAAAAAACCAGTAATATAAAACAAACAATGTACAATGTCTGAACAGCCGCTTCCTTCGGGCCTGGTGGCATTTAAACAACGCGTCCGCCCTCGTGGATCCCGGGCTACGCGAAGCTACATGATGCTGATGCTGCGGTTGAGCTCGCACTGGGCGTTGTTGTTGTTGACGTTGGGGTTGGGGTTGCGGCGGCTCATGTCGGGCGTGGTCACGGACGCCAGGCTGCCCGCGTCGTTGGGGCAGCCGTGCTGGAGCAAGATGTCGGCGCACTCCTGGCTGCCGGCACGCCGGGCGCAGGACAGCGTGGTCTGGCCGCGGGCGTCGCGGCTCTTCACGTCCACACCGTACTGCAAGGGGGAGGGGGGGGGTCAGGTTTTATAATTGTGTAAATGGTAAGAAAAACAGTATGAAGATGATGATTTAATAACACAAGCACTCTGCAGCTGAACTGGTCTTTCTGATTTTACTTGTTTTTCCCGGTTTACAAGCAGAAGCTTGAGATCTAGACCTGTTTGTTAAGTGCAGCCGGCATTTACTCCTCCGCTATCGGGAGGAGTAAATGCTTCGATTTCCTCCCGATGTCTGAGCGCGCCGGCTTTCGTTGTCCTGCACTTGAATGCATTTGACTCGTGAGGCTGCAGCTGTGATGGAGCGAAAACAACTCGGCACAACAAAAGTAATTTAAATCTGGAATTTAAAAAACGTGAGCAGGTTATGCATATTTTGACTTCATGAGAGTCGTATTACGTTATTTGACGATATTAAATGAACGTTATTTTCTGTATCTGCTCATCACTTCGCATTATTAAAAAAAGTCTTGGATCGTCTTGAATCTTTCATTTATGCGTTTTGAACTATTCTCACCACACGGCAGCTGCCACCAGGGTACATGTGCATTTTGTAAAATATTGGGCAACTTTCTGGGTATTAACAAAGTTACATTTTAACAGTCAACAAAATAAACAAAATAAATCAGTATTTGCATAACTGTTAAACCAGTTAAATTAAATAAACAGGAAATATAACTGAATGGCTCAATATGGACTAATATACATCCCAGTAGTTTAATGCATTAGAGACACTGTGGGGGAGAAACGTGACAAACATCTGGCGCTGAGTCCTTTTGTAACGTCCACCTCCGACTCACCCAGATGAGCAGCTGCGTGATCACCACGTTGGCCATGGCGCAGGAGAGGTGCAGGGCGGTGCGTCCGTCCCCGTCCCCGTAGGTCTCGTTGACCTCCTCCTTGGTGCCGTGGGCCAGCAGCAGCACCACCAACCTCAGGTCGTCCTCCACCACCGCCCGCAGCAGCTGCTGCCCCAGGGGCACGTCGGACTGGGGCAGGCCCACCAGGAACAGCTTCTGCTCGTACTTGGCCCGGATCCAGCGCTCCTTCTCCTCCCTGGAGGGCGGCGGAGGACAGGGACGGGTCAGGACGCGCGGGCGATTGAGCAGAACCTTTGGACGTGCGTCGCGTAAGCCGGAGGCGGCGAGTCATGTGGCAGGAGGTGGAACGTAGACACACGCGGGATGTTTCTAAATATTTAGAGCGCGGAAAGCTGTCACGGTGGGAATATTACAGCGAGATGGTCTGCAGAGATGAGAGAATGCCAAAGGGCCGCGATGCTTCGGGCGACATTCCGCCCGCCAGCGATGGCGGCAGCGACAGCGAGGCGGTTAGAGCCCCATTTCTAAAGGTTACACATCCTCCACAGCGTGTCTGCTGCTCACAATACGGGAAGGAGGGGGACGGGAGGGTTTTTTTTTATCAGCGCCGTCGGCTGTCAGTCTGGACCGGTGGATCCCCTCCACAAAGGAGGCAGTGTGTGTCTCTGCGAGCCCCCGGCCTCCCCTGGGGGGGCGGCCGGGCCCAGAGTCAGATCGATGGGGCTGAATGGCGGCCAGAAAGGGACGGGGCGGGACGCGGGGCTCCTTCTTCTCCGGCGTGAGGCAGAGAATAGAGGCCGAGGGGAAGGCGCCATCCTCTATCGCCACGGCACAGTTATATCTATTGCTCTCCATCTCGACTACCACCCCCCCTCCGCCGCCCCCCAATTTCATTCTCTGCCCACACACACACACACACAAACTGTCCAAATAAGAAAGAAGGTAAAAAAAAAAAAAATCAATATCAATATGTGAATGAGTGAGCATGCCCAGTGTGGCTCTGACCCCGTGACCCCGTCGGCCGGCGTGATAAGGGGAGCAGAAAGACGCTGTTGTGCGGCTGAGTGACAGGGAGGAGAAGCGGTGTTCGGATAAGTTGAGGCGAGAGCGACAAGGCTCCCGAGGGACCTTCTATCAGCGGCCGGAGGGCTTTGCAGCAAGTACGAGCTGACAATCAAGCTCACTTCAATTCTACTTCATCACGATCTCCAGAACAACTTAATCACCGACATCGGCCTCGTGCACGAGCAATGGAGCACATTCAATTCCAGATTTATTTAAAAGGTCGGTTCCCCCCAATTCACAGCGGTTCTTTGTAGCCACACACACACATTTGGTTACAGTCCAGCTTTTGTTTTCAGGGATTTCCATTTCCACCTCGATGCAACGGAGGTGAAAGCAATCCTGTCAGTGGTGCCGAGCTTATTGTAAAGTAACATTCATATTTATTTCTGTGGATCTCATTAAAAGACCAAAACCGACAACATGTTTGTGCTTTTCTCAATAACGGTGTCACATTTCGACATTCAGGTGTTTCAAAAAGACATAAAGGACATTAACGTTGTTCTCCGTCGTTACTTTGGTCGTCTCCCACCGTCCCACAGGTCCGGACCCCCTCGTGTCCTGGCGACCTTCCGTTGCGTTTTGAAGTTTGCGCCGCGTGGGCGCCGGTTGTTTTTGTGATTGCAGCGTTTTACTGTTTGATTTGTTTTACATGTTTGCGATGCGTCGGCCACCGTAAAATTGTCTGTACTTTTTCTATATTGTTCGTCTGAGACTTTTATACATCGAATGTCTGCTATTGACGATGCAATAAAACATCCATCGGTTAAAAAGCAATTTGTACTCTGAGTAGTTTTTAAGAAGAGCACTTTGTACTTTTACTTAAGTATTTTTAACACTAGTACTTTTACTTGCAATTGAGTACAATTTAAGCAATGCAACGGTACTTTTAGTACATTTTAGTACTCTGCTGATTTCACAGCAGTTTAACAGTGAGGCTCCTTCAGACTTATTGACCAGTGGAGTAAAACGCTGCATCAGGCTTCAGCAACGCAGACAATACTGTAAGATAAATCAACTTATTATTAGGCCCAAACCTAAAATAATACATACAGGCAAAGTGCACATCTGCAGACCTCTGCACAGCCTGTCTAACGATGACCCAGAGCCCGGCGTCCTGGTGTCTCACAACCGGCCGGAGTAAAGAAATGAGGAATAAAAGAGGCGGATGGGCGTCCTCGTCATCTGCGCGGACCGACCCCCCCCGAATAGCACACGTTACAACAACAGCGGCCCGTCCGGCGTGAGTCGCTCTCCTCCATTACGACAGGCGCAGCAGCCTCCGGGCTCGCACGGAGGAGCGCGGCACCGGCTCCACCTGTTTGAGGGTCTCCATCAGCGCCGCGGCGCGGCCTTGATTAACTGCCAAACGCCACCGGAAGCTCGTAAAGCGGCTCGAGCCACACGTCGGAAACGCTCTCCACTCTATTGCCGTTTACGAGCATATGGGTGCATTTTTATTACGAGCTCAAGGGAAACGCGGAGGAGAAGGTCCTTTTAACCGTTCCCCCCTCAGACAATCGTTTCTTAAGGGTATACGGGGTATTATGTGAGCAACAATACAGCCCTAATGGCAGGCGATTGCTTCGTTTCAGAGTTTTATGGTGTAAGACCTCCATCAATCTCTACTCAGTCATTATGTGCCGACGAGCCTGTTAGCAAATCAACCGAGAACCAGCGGACGGCTTCAGCAGGCGGCAACGGGCCTTCCTGCTTACTTCCGGTGAACTATTTGAAGAAAAAAAAAAAAAGTGTCCTTTTTGAAAAGAGGATATTTTGAAAACTCTCAAACAAACTATAATCCTCCGGGCAAAGGAAGAGAGACATTTACAACCTTTAACAAAAATCCGAGCGTGTTTAAAATCACTTAGAGCTGTTGTTTCAGAAAGCTGGACCACGAATGAGATGCTGGCGATGTGGCGCCCGGCGACTTGATATGAGCTAAATGAGGCAGAAAGTTGCACCAAGACGTGAAACAAAAAGGCCGAGGAGAACCATTAAGAAGACGTCAAGGTCTCAGAAAGGAGCCCGAGGACACTTTGTTAGCCGAAGAACTGCGGGGGGGGAGAAAAAAAAGACAAAAAGAGCCGCTGACGGCGAGCCGGGGATCCAACGGCGGCTATTTTTACACGGAGAAATAAGAAGCAGCTGGACGGTGTTTAATTCTGCCACTTGAAAGGCGAGTGTGAAAAGTAATCCTGCCTCTGTCTTTTGTTTCAAATAGAATAAACAATCCAAACAGGCGGCCGGGGGGGCGAGCGCCTGGAAAAGGACGCTTCCTCACCGCAGGAGGAAGAAAAATAAAATCAGCAGATTTAGCATGTCAAAGTGCCGGGATGGAGCGTCGGGGGGGGGTTCACAGCATGGGGGGATATTTAGGAAATTGAACTGATGGTTACTCGTCTATATGTACACACACACACACACACACACACACACACACACACACACACACACACCACCCTGAGCACATGCTTGTTGGAATCTTCTCTGTTGCTTGGGGGACGAAGGGGAGCTTAAAGTTCCCAATGAAAATGCCGGAGTGTCTTTTATGTGAAAACAAGGCGCCGTTTGCTTCGCCGCGATCTTCTTCCTCCACGTTTCGCCCTTTTTTTTTTTTTTTTCCTTCCATAAAACTGACTTTTGCGTCGTTAGAATTCACGTGAAACAGGAACATCGGAACGCTGGCAGAGACGGGCTCCCGTCCGGAGCCGGTGTCCCCTTTCGTTTGACTGCGCACACAGATAAAAGCAGCCCCAACGGCAGAGAAAGGCCCCTTTTATAATTCTACCAGAGCTCCGTCCTTTCAGCTCTGCGTTGAGCAATGGATCCTGACCCTGACTTAATTAAGTGGCAAATGGCGGAATGATTCTCCCAAACTCGGCCCGCGGAGTCAGGAACACATGACTGGCTTCAGATAAAGAGGGACAAACAAGGATAATTAGTCAAGCCTGAAAGACAAAAGGCAAACGGGAATTTATAAGGAGGGGAAGGGAAGCTGAGACGGCGGGGGCGGAGCCACCGACTGACCAATCCGACGGTAATAAAGGTGCATTGGTCCGTGAGTCCAGGGGACGTCCGTCTTTCAAACACATACCGAGTCCTCCTAAACAATCAAAGCCTCCGCAGCTCCTCCCACCCCTCAAACAGACGCAGTGAAGGGGAGAAATGGTGGTGGTTGGTTGGTCGGAGGAGGGGGGGGGGTTGACCGGCCTGAACAGACCTCACAGTGGGGGGTGGGCAGCTTGTATGGGAGCGATTCCCAGGCGGCCAGCAGCTTCACTTCCACAAGCAGAGGGGAGGGGAACAGACAGGCGGAGCGAGGGAGACGACAGAGAGGGGAGAAAAAGGAACAACGGGGCCAGAGAGCCGGGGCCCCAAAGCATCAAAGGTTGCTAAGGCCCAGAAATGAAGGCGCAGCACAGTTAAAAGGCCTCAGTACGGCCTCCTGCGGGCCGCTCAGAGGACGGCGGCGGCGAAAAAAAGAATCAAGGCAGATATTTTCCCCGAGTGGAACCGCTGCCGCTTCTCCCCCCGGCTTCCCGAAACAGGCGAGCGGCATTCAAAAGGTTGTCGTGCCGACCCTGTGCGGAGGGGCCGACGGGGAGCATCTGGGTGCCGAGGGCCCGCCAGAGGGGCCCGGCTGAATATATCGTGACATTAATGAGGTTGTCAGACTCCTTGTGATGGAGTGGCTGCGTTTTTGTGCCGGCCCTCAAAACGCTCCTGCTGTTAACCCCTGCTGAACCCTCGGCGAGCACGACACGGGCCCCGCTGCACCAACGCGCTCCAGCTCTCTGACCCCCCCGCCAGAGACTAAAGCTCCTCGTTAGGACTTTATGCTACTACCCACGCTAAAGTCGTGCATGCTGCGGTTAAGTGGCCTCGGACCTTCGTCCACGTCCCCCCCCCCACCCCCGGGGCCGAAACCAGGTGGCATTTGGGCAATTAAGTGACCGTGGCTCCCCGCTGGTCCCGCACGGGGCTAATTACCGACCTGTGGGTCTCGCTTACAGGGAAGGAGGACGTGGGGGGACCCGGGCATTTATTCGACTTAATTAATCACTCCTCCTCCTCCGGGGGGTGCTGGGAAGGGCGCTTATTTCAAAAGGTCTGGTGAGGGTCCTAACCTGTGAGCCCCCCCCTAATCGCCCCCACTCCCGACGCTGGAATAACTTGGAGTCCACCGTGGACCAGTCTTAGCTCGGGAGGACGAGGGGAGGTGCGGACCGCCGGAGCGCAGGGGGTTAAAGAGGGGGGCGGGGGGTCTGGGGAGGTTAGCGGCGTGATTCATTTTTATTACCACGCGGCCCCCGCGGGCGGCAGGGGGGGCAAATTATTTCTGAAACAAAGTGGAGGCTCTCATCAGAGCTATTACCTGCCCGTGGCCGAGGGCGGCGCGCAGCCCACAGAGGGTGACAGTGAGAGGCCGGCGCCCGCTGAGCGATAGCCGTCCACATCCGTCCACGCTCCGGGACATCTCGCCCAAATGAGAACCGCTGTCTGCGCGCGTGTGGGGGTGTGTGTGTGTGTGTGGGGGTGGGGGGGGGGGCAGAAGAGGACGAGGTTAGCGGTTGGACTCCCCCGCCTCCCCCGCTGGATCTGTCAGAATAGTCCGCTGTGTTTTCTGTCGCGAACACGCCAAGCAATTAGAGGCGGCGTGCAAAACACAGCGGCTCCCAGGTGCTAATTAAAAGAGCGACATCGCCGAGTGCAGAGATCGGGCCGGACGCACAAACGCATCACCGACGCAAAATAGCCAGAGAGCGACTCCACAGCAGGCGGCCTTTCCACGGGGGTCACAACTGTAACCGATGCCGTACAACAGATTTCACTAACTATTCAGAATGAGAAGAACTTTAGTGAAAAATCCCTCTGGCAAAATATTCGCATTTACAACTGCAGATACAACGATTAAAAACAAGCCGCCTGCTTGACACGAAGTGATGAACACGATTGATCATCGACTTTTAGCCCAAACTATTGAAACGTCACCGGTTACAGTTACAACTCAAAGGCGTGTTTCATCAGTATTCTGCAAAGGCTTAAAACAGGTGCCACATATGCACGTTTGCCTGCGATCGGTCTCCTGCCGCCGTGTTGGTCCGTGTACGACAAATCTATACGCCGTGTTCTTCCCGTCCAGGATATCACAAGCTAAACCGATCTTGTGGATGAACGCTTTTAAGTTAAATCTCAGAAATGCGCGCGGGGGTGAAACCGGTCTTGCAGGAGACATTCAATCAGACGGCGAGTTGATATTCAGGTAGTTACTGAATCGTTTAGATTAGGTGTCACTAGTGCTTAGCGGGACCCGGGGAGCCGCACGCCGCCCGGCGCCATCACAAAGCCGCCGCGCGTCACCCGTGTGACACAATTAAAATCCTCCTTTAAGAGGAGATTCATGGCGTCAAAGGAGGGAAAAGAAGCTGCATCCCGTTGAGTTGCTCACGATTCCTCTTTTGGGATGAAGCAAAAATAATGTGAGGGCAGAGTTTTGCCCAGAAGTCATCAGCACCTCAATGACCAGTGGCCACATACGTGATTCTTACAACTGCTGCGCTTTGTCTGGAGATTAGTTATGCTGCAAATGAGATTTATCGCTCGACAGGGAAAACTAATGGAGATGCTGCTGCAGGATGGGATCGGATTTTTTTTTCAGACAATGAAGAACCTTCCTGCTGGAGGCGACGTGGGACGGACAGCGGAATCAACATCAATAATCTTTCATCAAGTCCACGGAGGAGCACTTTGGCACAGATAGCGTTCGATAAATAACTCAAGGCCATCATCCAGCTCCCAACCGGCCCGCCGACATTCTCTAACGTAGCGTCTGCAGCGTGAAAGCGTCACGCGGTGAAGCGACCATACGGCGCGTTGACTTCTCCACAGCGTCTTCTGTGCTGTGAGGCCACCAGGTCAAGACGGTCCCCGGCTCATAAGACGACGCTGTCATTATGTAGAAGTTTGATTACTGTGAGATTCAAAGAGCAGCTATGAAAGTATTAAGAAAAGCTCCGTATTGGTTTAGAACCTCTGACTGAAGAGTATTTTAATCAGTTGTTCATAAATTGGTACAGAATAAACACACATCTTAAGACCCCAAAGCCAAAAGGGACATCTTCCAATAATTATGATTCTGTTAGAACTCTCAATATTCAGTAATGGTGGACGACAGTAATAATGTTACTAATAAAGTTTAAGCTTCCCTGTTGAAAAGTCACAAAGCTGTGACGTTAAAAGCGTCTGGCGCCACGAGGGAGACCCTGCAGACAGTCTCTGCTGCGACAGACTGAGCGATGAACCGCCCCCCGCGTGATGGATACGTGACACGGCAACCTGGGCGCCCCCCCCCCCCCACGGGGCCCCCGGGGGCCCGGCTCCCGGGGTGGAGTTTAGCCATAATGGTGTGCTTAATTACCTGCGCAGCCACACGGCAGGCCATTAGTCAGCCCGGCACGCCGGGTCTCACCTGTCACCGAGAGACAAACAATCCTCCCGCCGGATGTGGGGGAACCTCAGAGGGGCGCGAGCAGGTGGCCACTGGGGTAACAGTGGCAAAGTCCAGGGTTTATACCAGATTTATACCCTCTGATAAGAGAGCGAGGACGGCGGGTCGTCTCACATCTGCTGGATTGTTGCTTTAAAGTTAAACAAGACGCCAGAGAACCGTGTAGAAATGAAGCACATTACACCCCTTAAACGAGGAGGTCCGACGCCGGGAACCTCGGCGTGCTCACCTGGCGCTGTCGCTGCCCGGCTTGGCGTAGCCCTCCAGCGCCCCCTCCCACACGCTGTTGGCCATGGCGTTGCCGATGGCCGTCATCACCATGCTGAGCTCCACCGGCCAGTCGTCCAGGTCCAGGGAGCGGACGCGAGACAGGTGGGTGCCCAGGTTCCTGTGGATCCCGGAGCACTCGATGCACATCAAGGCGCCCAGGTTCAGGCTGGCCCAGTCCGGGTCTGCGTGATGAGGGGGGGGAACCGGAAAACCCAATTTTAATACGTTGTGCAACTGCAGGTCAAAGAAGAACCGAGTCACTAGTTTGTTTGCGGGAACAAACAATCCGGTGGCGTCGCGTCGGGCCGGAGGCGCTACGACTCAACAGGGCCGCGTCCTCGTGGCCTCCGGCGCCGAAGGGCCGTACTCACTGGGGGCATCGCAGTCCACGCAGAAGCTGTTGCCCCTCACGTTCCGTACGGACTGGATGGCCATCGCGTCGCTCTGGCTGCCTAAGCGAGACTGCAGCAAACGAGAACAAGTCAGCGGGAAGTAGTGGAGCAAGAGGAGGCGAACAATTACAGCTGGACGGTAGGCAACCATCGAGGGGGGAGGGGGGGGGGGGCGGGGGGGGTCTCTCAGAGGGGAAATGTGAATATGAAAATGAGGCCCGTGTCTCCCCGCCGTGCAGACGCGAGCCGCGTTCCCTCTCTGATGTCTGTCAGTTCTAATAAGAGATCCCCCCCCCCCACACTGCAGCGCACCTGTCTGGCAACCTCCCGCGTGTGACAGCTTGAAGTGGGTGAGGGGGGGCCGGGGGAGGCCGGGGGAGGGTGGGGGAGGAACGGGAATGAAGCAGCAGAATCGGAGGCGATGAGACCCCCCCCATCTGTCGCGTGCGTTACCTTGTTCTTGATGCTCTCACAAGACTGCAGGCTGGCGAAGATCTGGCTCTCGATGGCGCCGACCCACAGCTCCCGCTCCTCGAACGTGGACGCCTCGAAGTTCCACGTCTGCCCCGTCAGCGACACGATGACGAACTCGAAGGAATCCTCTTGTTCTGTGAAACCGGGAGGCGACGAGTGAGACTCGGCGAGGGGTTCGGGCCTCCCGTTGAACTCCGGGGCGCCGCCCGTCCTCCTCAATCATTACAAATATGTACAATATCAAAACATCCACTACATTTAAGACTATTTCCAATCAGCAGCCGAATATTTAGGAAAGCGAGATTTTAAATCATGTAACAGGTCAATTGGATTATAGACCATCTATAATAGATGAATGAGCCTTTATTCAGAAACCCAACATACAAGCATGAACCTGAGGAATAACATTAGGTGTCTTCTTTAAAATTGTATTTTCTATTTTGATGTCTTATATGTCTAATAAATTAAACTTTTAGAGAGCTTAGTTCATTATTTCAACGTATTTTTAGAGAAATTACAAAGCACAGGTGCCTTGGAAACCAATGCAACGAGAAGAAAGATTGAGAACAAAGAGCTGCTGAACACATCTGAATCATAAAGTAATTTCATTGAATATTTACTGCCCAGCTGTTATTTATCAACGCACCGTGGAAAGTTTTCGAATGAAAAACGTCTTCTACACTCTTTTCCAATGAGTACAATGAGGTTTTATTGGAGTACTGGGCTACATTTTTTGTTTGGGGATGTAAACAAAACTACATCAGCTCAAAATCCTCTTCAAACTACGCGCATCAGCGTCCTCTTTGTGTTTAACTAAGATTTATGAAAATGTCACCTGTCGTTGTGGAACAAGAGCTCTGACACAACATATGTTCCAACACATGCTGTAATGCCTCTGCTGTTCAGAGGCAATTCATTAGCGGCGTACTGTACAATGTGACTCGTGTAACGTCTCTGCTCTGTGCACATGCTTCAGCTCGTAGCCAAATGATTTGTAATTACCTAATTAATGTCTATGCAAATAGTCATCTCATTTGCATGCACCACGTTTGGAGGACCGGGGGCGGGAGACACCGGGGGATTCTTTTTCTCCTGTGCAGCTTTATCATTAATCGTTAATAGAGGTTACATTGAAAATAAATGCGTTTAATGAACAAAACGTGGCGATGCCTCTGATGCACTAATGCGCTAATGTGTTTATTTCTCATCTGCGCGTCTGCAGCCGCGAAACGACGGCAATCAGACGATAATACGACCGTCAGACAAATCGACCAATCAGAGGAATTACGACACTTTGTGTTGGTAATCAATGGCGGCTCCTGGGCGCCGTGCGGCTAAATGACAGATGTCTGACGGACGCCGCCGATCCCTGGAGCCCAGGTGGAGGGCGTCTCTTCAGGGGGAAAGCGATAATCCAATTAGCTCGACACCGACTTCAATTATCTGATTCAGTTTGCGGAATCGACTGCGGGTCACGGAGAATCAATGGAGACTTGGAAGTCTCTTTATTTAGACTCGCGGTGACAAAGTGTTTGTGTGGGCGGGACGTTTTAAAGCACTGGTGGGGATTAAAAGAGAAACACGTCTATTTGAAGCAACCGAGATGGTCAACTGGAGCCTCAAAGTGCCACAAACGAGTAGAAATAAAACTGCTTGACTAATCTGAATGCGAACAGTAAAAATCTATTTTCTTGTCCAATATAATTCAGGTACAATAACTAATGCACTTGATTAGAATTTGTTGCTCCCGGACTCAAATGTTGCTATATGCTGTTTTCATCTTAAAAAAAAAAGAAGAACCTGAACAAAGCTAATTATTCTGTTGGCTGCTCAGGCACAAAATTGGAGGCATTAAAACACTTTCATTATGGAGATTAAAAAAGCAACGGATGGCTGCTTTCTTAAACTGACGAGTGGGAAAACAGATCTACCGCGCACGGGAAAAGCCCACGCGGGACAAACCGCAGCCACCGAGGAGACAGAGGACGTACGATGTGCTCCACGTGAGCACGTCGCCGAGGTCGAAGGCGGTCGTCTCAGACGCGCCGAGCTCGTGAAACGGCCCCGTGGGCGCTTCCTGTTGCTGCTCAAGGCTCGCAGTTAGCACGTGGCTAGCAGAGGAGCCCCGGTGACCTCTAGCGTGAGCGTTGACCTCCTGTCCGCGAGCCGGCAGTCAACAAGTTCCTGCCAATTAGAAATAAATGAACGCGGCCGGCGGAGGAGCAGCCGGTGAAGAACGAGCGAAATATGACTTTCCTTAATTAAACGCGGCGTAATAAAAAGGAAATTACGAGCGTAATGGCCGTAGAGCTGCAAAGAGGAAGGAACAGATGAAAAGATTTGCATCCGCCGTCCACCATTTACATGGATCATAAACACTGTTCAAGTTATTCCTCAGACACTCGACGGTCGCTAACAGCAACACAAACGCTGCAGAGCGCCGATAAGGAATTATTGCCTCAAGGTACAAAAACCTTTTGATATACTTGTATTTCAAGTAATTCCATTTAATGCTACTTAAATATAGTTATCTTTTACACAACTACACTTATCTGACAGCTGTAGTTACTTTTAAGATTCACATTTTACATTAAAAAAACTAAACTAAATGCTAATAACTGTTTTATTGAGGTCATTACTTTAGAGTGATGTCATCCAGGCGGTTTAATTGCTGCCATTAAAAGATCGTTGTTCATCAAATTTGTTTCACCTGAGAATCAAAGTGGGAGCAGGAAGGAAGGGGAGTGACCCGGGGACGGTGATTCCTCTACTGTGCAGCGGACGCACCGGCGAGGACCTGTGGACCAGATTAACACCTCGGGGGGTGGGGGGGGGGGGGGTTTGAGCCCAGCTGTGCAGCCTGTGCTGCACCGCGGCGTCTATCTGGAGTCCGGAGGCCTTAGAGACGCCTCCTCGGCCTCGAGGACTCACTCCTTCCCGTCCGTTTGTGCAAAACAAACAGTCTGGCTGCAGCGGCGGCGAGCTGCGCCTTTGTTTTCCGCGGCGCGAGCGCCGGGCAGCCACCTAAAGAAGCGCTCGCCGTTCCCGTGAATTAACGAGCAGTTGGGAAGAACAGGCCGAGGCGGTGCCATCTGTAAATGTCACAGGCACTGCTTGCTCATTTTACACATCATTAAAGCCAATATTCCTAACCTGTATCAGAGCAATCAGGAGCAGGCCATTACTGCGACAGGGGCCCCGGGGGAACCACGACCAAACTCACAGAGAGGAGAACAGGGCGGGAGGGGGGAGATGGAGCACCGTCTTTATCTATCTGACACACACACACACACACACACACACACTCTCAAACAAACAAGCAGCACACCTTCCAACTATAAACAAACACATGAAATCCGGCCCAATAGCACGACGTCGCTATTAGCTCGTGCATTTAACACCGGAGCAGAATGAAAACGGGGCCAATTATACGCGAGTCTGTGGGCAGTGTGTACGGGGCCCAAATGAGAATCTTGTTATTCCTTCCCCTCCGTACCGTGGAAGCCATTACACCAGCGGAGGCTCCAGGGAGAGCTTTGGGAAATGAGAGCGAGTCGGGGAGTGACAAAACAAAGTATTGAGATAAACACCCACCATTAGCGCAGGCAGTTAAACCTCCATTTCCTAATCCTCAGCTGGACTCCAGAGGATATTAACCCGTGGTTTCCCGAGGTGCAGGACAATAGGAAGTTGGGCCGACGACATGTCGCTATGTGAACTATCGATGCGTTTTGATTTAATTTGGGCGCAAAGGCCTTGAAGCCGCTCTGTAGAAGGGAGCCGGACAGCAAGGCTGGTTTCAATCTGCAGGATTTACAGCGTGTGAGACAGTTAAAGGCTGTGAGAGGAAACCAGGATCAGACATGGATTAATAAAAGTCAATAGTGACAAACTAAAGAGGAAGAAAACGGCTGGAGACGTTAGCCGCTACGTTCTTTACTGGCCTCTCACCACAGCTAACAGAGCTAACAGCGCTAACAGAGCTAACAGCACTGACAGCGTTCACCTGGGGCGTTTGGGGGGGGAGACACCTGAGTCCAGTTCTTATGTCACATGGCTTATGCCCCGCCCCCTTCAGCAGGTTGCTGCAGTGGAAGAAGAAGAATTACTCCACCATATTTACTTTATACAGCCAATAAGTTGTTTCCTGCTTTAATATAGAATGTAGCATAGAAAACCTGCATGATTTGGGATGACAGCTGCTGATGAAGATCCCACGTTACGTCGTGTACAGAAGGAAGCTGCACAGCCGCTTCCCCTCCATCCCATGCAACTGTTCTCACCACGGTCAGGCTTCTGCTTGTCTTTTTGATTTAAAATCAATAAAGTCATCTCTAAAAGTCTAGTATGCATGAGTTAAAATATGTGTGTGTAGTCTAGCATTCTACCAGTGTTTAACTGTGTCAAGCAGAGCTTCTATTTCATGATTTCCACTGATCTGATGAGTGAAGATTACATCCATCCTTTTTTTCTGTCTGAAATGTAAATTAAAAAATAAACTTCCCATCCTGTAATAATAGCGAACACAATCCAGTCAACCAATTTACCATGTGAAATAAAACGACTTGATTAAAATGCTTTGTTGAATCTTTCATTAAATAACAGGTTATTAACCAATTTGGGATTAAATAAAGTGCATCTCAAAATAAACTCCCCCTGGTTTCTACGTTGTAAACATCGCCTTGCAGCCCGCTGCAGCTCATTATAGCCAAAGATCACATCGTCACATCGTGCGACCAGAGCTTCCTTCAGTCCGCGATCTTCACTGACGACGTCGCCTAAACATGTGCAACGATGCACGGAAATAAGCGCGGTTTGATCCTAGAAAAACAGTTGCTGCGACTTGGACGTAAGCAAAGACTTTAACGCCGTCGTCACATCCGAAGCACTCGGGCAAACGCTCGGCCCTCGTCGATTTCTGTGACCTTAGCGTCAGCAACGTCGCCCATAAACCTGCAGGAACCCGGGAGCTCCTCGTCTCAGCTCGCCTCCTTTCCTGCAAACCTCCCCGTCTGCTCACGTTGGACCAAACTAAAAAAAAACCCCCGAAACAACGAGCATCCGATACACTTTCTTTAAAAGAGAAATACATTAATGATGCTCCCTGACAGTCTGCATTAATCAGAGGGGGCTCCCCCTGAACACAACTCTTTATCGGCCATCGATTTTCCAGTGGGTTTATGGCGAGCGACGCACCGAGAGAGCTCGTCGCCGGGCGGCTGCTGGGAAACACATTACGGGGCTGTCAGTCGCCTCGCCATGCATCCTGCATCATTCTTTAAGCACATGAGAAGTTCATTACAGCACACGGCTCTGACAGCGCATCGCGTATCAGGGACTGTGTCCGTTTGCGCGTCTTTGGTGGAAGTGCAGCGCCGAAGACTTAACGGGGAATTCATACGGAAGCCAAACACGGGCTTCTGATTAGAAAAGAGAAAAACGGCTTTACATTGATTTGGAATAAATGGATTTTTTCGCAGGTTCAAATGTGATTTTAAAAGCTCGCCTGAAGCCTTTCTGAACGTTTGCAGAGAAGACATCTCTGTGCGTCATTTATCCTCTCGTGATCGGACTAACTTGAGTTTATTAAAGATGCATAAGATTTTCTCCCACTTGGAGGAGTACCGGGGTACAATATTTGGAAATGATGGCGCGGCAACAGCTTCTCCAGGCGTCCTCCCACATCCTCCACGTCCAATGTTGACCAAAATGATTTCTCACCTTAAGACGTGCGCGCTGTTTTTGATTTATGATGCTTCACAACTACTAAAATTCAATTTCAGCCCGCATCGCGCGCTTCTGATTGCCCCGTAAATGAGATAAACTGATAGCAATTTATTCAAGGATCTCACCTCTCCTCCGCTTTCCCTCTCTTCTCCTCTGTGCTTCCACCGGGAGACACAACTCGCATCCCAGACTTGGGTGAATCCAATATTTAAGCGATATGTCTGTATTCCGGAGCATTCAGCAGAACAGACAAGGTGATGCTAATGGAAAAAAACCCTCGCCGAGAACAATGAATGAGATGGAAAACAATGTGCGTGTTTGATGACGTGAGGAACATTCAGAATCTGCCTCCTCCTGTCTGATTACTCTTAGATTCCCTCCTCGGGAAGTCCAGGAGTCATCCGACATCAACCGCTCCCGAGCGGGCAGCTCGCCGAGGAGATTTGGCGGCGTTTGATAATGCCGGCCATTAAGAGCCGGGTCCCATTAAGCGCTAAGTAGTGACCAATAAAACAGAAGTAATAAGACTCTGCTTCTGTGCATCCGACTGCTAAATGTAAAAAAAAAAAAAAAGATCAGATCAGAGTATCGGGGATGCGACCACATGGCGCTCCGACGACCCCAAAAAAAACGGCACCACTTTGTCGGCGAGATGCTGAGGATGTGCCCTCCAAACAACAACGTGGTCAACGGACCCATTCAGGAGAAGCTGTCAGAGACCATGATATAAAAAAAAAAAAAAAAGCATAATGATTATAAATGCCAGGCCCCATTTGAGAGGCGTCAATGCCATTGTTGTTGTTATCCAGCGTATCAATCTTGTTGATTGATCATCCCTCTCCGGTGACATCGGTTTTTTATGGCCTCCGAAATGCGTCCCGGTGTTTTCACAATGCCGTCCAATTAGGGGGCTCCATTCATCATTGGCCGGGAGAATCATTATTAATTGGGTGGAGAGCCGACCGGCACTCCCCTGCTGAGGGGGATCAGGCCTCTGAGGCTGCACGCTAGAGGGTGTGTCTGGGGGGGGCGGGGGGGCTCTTACCCCGCGGTTCTCACGTGACACTGAAAACGAACGCACGTCCACCTCGGGTTGCGTGTGCACGGAGGGAGGGAGAGGCCGCGGTCAGGCCTTCGACGGGACAGAAGACGCGATGCGACCGCGGCGTGTTTTTTATGGGCGGCGGAAGCTTTCTTACGCGGCGGTAAGAAAAAAAAAGAAAAAGAGGTCGGGGGTCATTTCGGAAGTGTGGCTTTGTGTAGTCGGGCCGTACCTTCGTTGCCTGCAGACAAGCCGTCCGGCTTCGTGATGCCCGTGCTCTTTTTCCGCCGGTGTTTCTTGCGGTTGGCGTGTGGCGAAGGCGGCGGCTCCAGTTTAGGACTCGTGGCGCCGCCCGCGAAGGAACCCGAAGGATCACTCGTCCCGTTGGCTGAAGAAAACAAGGAGAGGGAAAACTATTAAAACACGTATCAGGTTTACGGTGACTGAGCTTCAGCTTTACAGTTTCATACTGAATGAAGTTAAAGGTCTTTAAACGCAGCAGCACCTCTGGTGGCTCAGGATCGTTTTTGGAGGCTGATTTACCAGCAAAATGTAAAAAAATGACATTTAATTCTATTATTAAACCGCAAAGAGTTTTTTTTTTAACAGCAGACAAAAGATTTTGTCCAACTAAAAATGAATATTAATATTTATTGCCATGATGATCCGTAATATGAAGATAATGAACTGCAGAATAATTATTATGAAGAGCATCCATGAGCGTCCAATTTCAAAGTTAAGAGAGATTTGATGAAATATCAACCAGGAACTGAGAGTCTTCTTCCTTCTAATGACGACTGTTGATTAGTCGGCTATTAATTGTCTTCATTGCTCTCAGCTCAAGGCCACTATGACGGCCGACATGTGACACAGAAAGAAAGGTGTAAAAATGGGAAACCGCACCTTTAAAAACAAACTAAGCCGACAGCTTCGATTTAACTTATTCAACTGGGAAAATGTCCGATGACGCGTCCAACGTCCGCAGCGTGAATCACCGTGAATAATGAAGCACGCTGGTCACGTCCTAAAGTGCGTCCACGGCAGGAGGACTGGCGAGCGGCGGCGTGGCTTCAGACGCAGTGGAGGACAGGCGAGGGGCGAGCAGCGGACTAATGGTCACCTCGGCCAGCCGCCGGCGGCGCGACAGGGGGGCTAAGAGCCGGCTTTGTTTCTTGTAAGTGATTTTATAAATGTGATATTAACCTGTGCTACCGTTGGCCAAAGGGACAAGAGAGGGACGCGCCGACGGGGGGGACGGATGGACGGGGGGGGGTACGTTTGTCAGCTCGCCATCTTTCTGATTTCCTGACATTTGACATCACTTTCCCTTTTTTTTCCCCCTCCGAATCCCATTATAAATCGGGGAGCGGGGGGCCCCGCCCCTGGGGGGGGGGGGGGCAGGGGAGGGAGGGCCGGTAGATGGGCCCCATATTGCTCTCCCCTTTACCACCCTGTGTGGTGCTGGCAGCCTCCTCCATTGTCTCCCATCAAAAGCTCATTGTAGTGTGGCAAACACCATTCATTTTCCCCCCCGCGCGCCGTCCCAGCCCCCGGGGGGGGGGGGGGGGGAGGGGGGCAGGAGGACAAGGGGCTCAGGGATTACTGCTGTTGTCGTTGCCGCTTGCACATGCTGTAATGTGCAGCGCTGTGCCATTAGCCAGTGTACAACATTAGGCCTAATTCGGTCATTACCTTTGGGGAGAAGGGGCCGTCTTGGAGGAGTAAGATGGGCTCAGCAGGGGATTGGAGATGCTAACGCGAGGAGGGACGCGGGGGGGGGGGGGCGGCTAAGCGTGGCCAGAGAACACACGAGGCACCTGAGACACGCGTTGGTGCATCCGCGCTCCACTTAGAGGGGCGGCGGACGCCACTCGGACCGGCATCAAGTAATTTGCTGGGAAATAAGAAGAAGTACGAGGCATAAAACAGCAAAGCGGAGACTAATAACGGACGGATTCCGCCGCGTCGGCGCTGCCGCTGCTCTGAATGGCGGCAGCGCAGCCACACATGCAGCGGCTCCGCGTCGAGGCGTCTGTTTCAATTTCCCTGCTCTCTTACAACAGCCCCCCTGAGACGAGTCATTAGCTGGCTCAGACAGCTGGGGGCACAGGGGTCCTCCCTGTAAACCCCCCCCCCCCCCCCCCCTCTCCCCCGCTTCCTCCTCCCTCTCCATCCCGGCGTCTGTCCCGCCAGCACAGCGGCGTATGGTGGTGAGGGGGGGGGGTGACGGGGGGAGAAGACTCGAGCTCCGAGCCGCCTCCGACGTGACAGCCAGCATTTGTTTAATGTCGCTTGAGGTTAAAGGGGAGGGCTGCCCCTCGGGGGGCCCCGAACGTGTCATAAACACCTCTAATTATCAATTTCTGCCCCTAATGTTGTGGAAAATGACCCGGGCCCCGCTCATCCTGCCCCCCCGCTCTCGGAACACGGCACGGGGGAACGCAACTTCTTTTGTCTGCAGCGTGAAACGTCATCTCGCACCTCGAGCTGCTTCTCAGCTCTAACTATCCATAAATGAGGAAGTTAGAACTGGACCGTGTGTGTGTGTGTGTGTGTGTGTGTGTGTGTGTGTGTGTGTGTGTGTGTGTGTGTGTGATGAGGCCCTCTGTGGATCCGGAGTCTCTCTCCCACTCAGCCAATATCACCTGGGCAGGCGGATCGGTACCGTCTAACCTGTGATTACAGCGTCCTACACTCCAACTATGCAGATGACAGTTTAAAGACCCCGGGTGAGACAAAGAGGGGCCTCTAACAGCTTCCTGCCTTTACCACACTGAGAATGAATGAGAATGAAAAAGAAGGGGTGGGAGAGAGAGGGGGGAGGAGAAGGGGGGATGCAGAGGAGTGGGGGAGTCATTTCATTGTTATTCAAGAGGCTCCGGGTGAGGAGCACTATGATTCCACCAGGCCCCTTGACACGGCAGCCCTGCCTGTCCTCAATCAAAGCCAACGGCTGCAATTAATGGCAAAAATTAGAAACAATCACCGCCTCCCCCTTATTATCCTCAATTAGAGCGCGCTAATCAAGGCCTGATCGCGCTCTGCTGCTCTCTCCAAACTAAATGTCAAACTTCATTACGGCCCGGCGTGGAAATCAAACGCCCCGCATGCTATCACCCTCCCATCGGGGGGGCAAGGTGTGAGACGCGGTGCGGCGGGGGAAGGCCGTCCGTGCATTAACTACCTGCGTCCTCGTATGCAAAGTTACAGGAGAAATAACACTTAATAATAATGAGCTCATAGCAGAGAAAAGTCTTTAAGAGTGAAAGAAAGAAGGAAGCAGGGTAAACTTTTTATGCAGGGCTGAGCGATACGGAGGAATATAGCAAAGGGTTATTGACTGAAGTATTGAAATATCGACGTGACAAACAATTGTTTTAAAAAAATTCAGACAAATATTCAGATTATTTTCTCAATTCATGGGATTTTTACAATAAATACAAAAAAAATTCTTGAATTGTCAAAGAAAAGCAACAAATCCTGTGAATTAATTAATTAATTTTCAAAAGCTGTTTTCCCACCTTTTAATTTAACTTCTGACACAATTTTAGTCGTGAGTGAACCAACATATCCCAGGATTTTATTGGATTAATCATTCCACCAGGTCACCCTTTGCAGGTGATCAGTGACACCGTGACTGACGTGGTCGTCATCAGCGAGCTCATCTGCTGCTGCGGCCTCTGGCTTTTAATTCAGGCTCAAAGATTGAGGCGTACGCGCGGGGGAGCGGCTTCCAAACAAGCATTAAGAATGGGGGGTCTTTATGAATGCAAGCGATAGGAGAAAAAAAAAAAATTGGGGCCGGGATTTAATCAAAAATCCGCGCTCAATATTCAAGAGACGTTACTACCTCCGCCGCTGCCTTTGCCCAATGGCTTCGCAAATGAGAACATTCTTTAAATAATATGGAAATGGTTACCTGGCTAAGATGCATTCATTCTCCGGCGAATCATCAATCTGCTGTTTTTGCATCTCAGAATCACATTTTATGTTAACCTGCAACCTTCGCCAAGGATAAGCGAGTGATTGGGACGGGTTCAAGTCAATTCGGATGGCAAAACATGAGCGCGCCGCAACGTGGAACACCCTCTATTGATTGTTGGAGGCCCGTCGGGATGAAACGTAGGACGGCCGCGTTTCAATCAAAGTTTTGTGTTTTCTGACAGTCCGGTCGCAGACGTCGCCGCTGCCGTGATCCACATTCTTAAAAAAAGGTCGACGAGGCGCCGAAAAACGAGACGTTCCGGGAAAGTTTTGCCGCCGCGGAGACGTTTTTCTTCCAGAGCGGATTTAAACTGTCGGCACTGACTACGCACTGATTACAGAGGCGCCCCCTCCCGAGGACGAGCAACATATCCATCATTTGACGCAATGTTTCGGCTGTTATTTTCAGCTCATTTGCCTCATTCGAGCCCATTTGTGGTTACCTTAAGAGCAGCGTGGAAATAATTGAAGAAAAGGGGAATAAAGGAGCAAAGTGTGGATGTGATTCAGCTGAAGGCTGGATGCTGCTTAATGAGCTGTGTTAATATCCAAGGCTTCTGAAAAGGGGAAATTCCAGGCCGCCTTATTTTCTGCAGACCGTCCGCCAAACGCACCGAGCGCAAAGCCTCTTCTTCTTCTTCTTCTTCTTCTTCTTCTCCCACAAGTCTCACGCGCAAAACAACAACAACCCACACACACGGCGCCGAAATGAGCGAGAAACGCGCGCACGCACACGACGCACACTGCCGCTCATTTATTTGAGGAGCCCACGAATCTAAGTAATTCTGCTTTGGGGCGTGCTGCTGATGGGAGGCGGGGGCGGGCGGGGGAGGGAGGGGGCGGCGATGGAGGCGCCTGCGTCCAGGCACAATTGATCGTTCGGCTGCCGCAAATGAGAGACGGGCTTGTCTGCGGAACCACGAGGGCCGCGCGGTCGGACTCCAGCGGCGCTCGTAAAGTGCGCTCTTTAAACTGCCGGGGCCCCTGGGAGCCCATCGGGAGGGGGAGGGGCGGGGGGGGGGGGGGAGCGCCGCCGCCGCGCTAATGAGAACTACCAGAGTGCAAACATGCATGGAAATGACTGTTATTCTGGTGATGTGCATTTAAGTGCTTTTTTACTGCCAACCACAAAGAGGGAAATAACTCGTGATGAATGGAGCCACCAAAACGCATCCATTTCCCTCTGCGGAAGAAAAGGGAGCAAAGAGAGGGGGAGACGAGGGGGTGAGAGTAAGATGGAAGGTAAAGACAGGATGGGGTGTGTGATGGGGGGGCGTAGACGTGCACGGTGAATATATCAAGTACGGTGACGAGGTGCCGCGTGGTGGAGGCAGCGGGCGGAGACGCGCTGAAGGTCGACCTTCGGCGCTCCTCCCTCTCCCGCCGCGCCACCCAAAAAGGTCACGCCGATCGCGGTATGAAGGAAAACGATAGGGGGGAAAAAAGGCGCGAGAGGCTCGGGGGGGGGCGGGTCTTACGGGCCGCGCTGCTCGTGCTGGTGTTGATGGCTTCGTTCCACTGGTCGGCGCTGGACACGGAGAAGGAGCGTTGGTGCATGCTGCCGTCTTTGCCGCCGCCGAACAAGGACGCGCCCGTCTGGAGGGAGGAGCTGCTGTTGGAGTGGGGGGCACCTGGGAAAATAAGACACACGCGCACAACGACATGAATGCGGGTTTTTTTCAGACGCGTGTCAATTTCAAATCTTTCGAACCTCACACAAAAAAAGTTGCTGCAAGCGACGCAGAGCTGCCGCCGCCATTCTGGCGCACATGGCGGCCCCGCTCACACAAACATGGACGCCGTCTCCCTCTGCCTCTAATTAGCCCTTAATTAACAAGATACACTCTGAACGCTAATTATCTCGCCATCATCCCTCCGACTGCCACATCGATCTCCACCGGCGACGGCGGGCGTCCTCTCCCCGACTTCCAATCAGGCGAGCCGCGGACGCCCGGGTCCCTTTACTAATTCATGGGCTAGGCGACGCCACGCGGGGTCCTTCCCTCCCGCTGCGACACCTTCCTGTCATCAGACGAACGCGTCGCACGGAGCCGCACTGGGTCGTGTGATCGTTTATTATTAACTAAGGTTACGCTAGAAAGAGCAGAGACGAGTGTTGGGTTGCTAATCAATGCTAATCAATAAAATTGGCGGTGAGAAAAGTTGATTTTCAAAAGGGCATTTTAACCTCAAAAAGCACTAAATACTAAATTTAATGAGGCATTTGAAGGTTAAAATGTGTTGTTTTGGAAAACAAACCCCATCCGCGACGTTTCTCACGTCACGACGTTTTATTCAATAATTACAGAGAATCTCAGTTTCTGATCGAGGTGCAGAAAAACAGAAAGTACGTAGTGTCTGGGCCGCGCGTAAAGTAAACTAAGCGGCACGGGTGCTTGTTAGGATAATATGTCCTACTCATTATCCAGAGTAATAAGTGTATCAAATTCACATAATCATGTCTAATTAGTATCAGTAATTATCTTGTTGGGCCCAGGAATATTAATCTTCAGGTCCCAGAGGGGAGGGAGCAGCATCGCAGCGAGGAGCGAGGGAACCACGCTGAGGAGCTCTGGCTAAATTAGCATGCTGAAATCAGAGCGGGGGGGGGGGGTGGGGGGCGGAGATGGGAAACTTTTTTTTTGAAAGTGATGGATGAACATTTAACAGCTGATACCTTCTGGGGAAAAAAGCGGGTTTTACTACTTTATTATCGAATTTTTGAGTGTTTTTAATTTACGAATCACAAAAAACACAAAAGAACCGTTTTTTTCAGCGGAAACCTAATTTCTACAAATAAATGTCTTTGTTTTCACGCCATCTATTTTTTGCCACTGAAAGATCAACGTTTCTTGCTTTTAAAAGCGAGACGTTTGGCTCTTTGACCCCTTAAAAAGGAAAACAGGTCAAAACAAAGACAAACGCCTGTTAGATAACTACCAGGCGAGTTACATCGATATTTAAAAATTCAACAATCACGTCTAATTGTCAAATTGGATGCTAATGATTAATGAATTATACATGGCTGTATCCATTAGTCCCCGGAGACCACTCCTGCATAAAGGGGAGGATAATGTAATTACACTGGAGAAATAATCAGCTCGTGGCATTAGAGGAGCACTGTACCCGGTGCTCCGGCCAGGCTCCTGGGAGTCCCGCAGACCTCACGCCGCCTCACGCCGCCACCCGACGGCCGCACACTCAGCGCCGCCGGCGTCGGGAGCGTTGGGACATTTCAATGCGATGCACGCATGTGGAGCATCGTAGCGACGCTTCGTAAAGGCCGAAGCACAAACGTCATTCGGAGGCTGCTGGAAATGAGTTCTGTCTATTACCTGAAACGTATTAGCATTTATTTTTGCGATAAAATTCCTTAGCGATGAAAACGTATCACGTCGACGGGGGTAGAAAATAAAGAACATTTGAACAATTCGTACATAACTATAATTATATTGAGCTTTTCTTCTGTCAGACAGCTTTAGGTACTTTCTGTATTTCTTCATATAAGAATGTTTTTTTTAGAATAATATCAAATTTGAAGGATTTAACGATCAAACAACATAAAGCATAAAAAATCGCTCTACCTGACAACAATAAAATGCTTTAAAGTTACTACTAATCAGTATTAATAGTGTCATATTTAACAATACAACTGACCGCCGCTTCTTCTTTTGTACATTTTGACGACAGTCTTTTACTTTGTGGTAATTCCACATTTACTTAAAGAAGACTTCTGAACACTACGTCAACCCTTGTGTCTAAACATTGGATTAAAAAACTAAACCAACAAAGAATAAAACAACCCTGTACATATAAATCAAATGTATGCTTTTCTAATGAAATAGTTTTGCTATAGAGATATGAGATCTATGAGATTTCACAGTTCACGTCTAAACACAAAGCCCCGCCGAGCGCGCGCGAGCCCAGCGCCATGTTCTGCAGGCGCCGCTAAGTACAGGCGATGGATTAGCGGGGAGCGGCGGCGCCTCGCCCCTCGTTTCTCTTCAGGCCGGGCCGTCAGTGGGTTGATGAGCCGCGACGAGGCCTGACCCCTCCGCGGAGTTGTCGCCATTATGTACAAGCAGCGGGATAATGAAGCATTCATGCTAATGTGAGCCGGTCGGCACATCATCTGTGTGTAATCCACCACCACCACCCTCCCCCTCCTCCTCCTCCTGACCGACGCCGCACCTCCACCCGCTGCTGCTGCTGCTGCCGGTCCTCACGCAAGTCACTCATCTCGGTGCATCGGGTCTTTATATTTCACCCTCGTGCACGACGACGCCATCGAGTTTTGGATGTCTGGCTATTAGGACAAAATCTAAAAAATGTTTGCATCATGTCAGAAGATTCTTGGAGGCTTTTCCAGCTCATCACTATGAATTCGATGACATTTAGAGGTCGAAAAGGGGAGAACAGGTATAACCAGGTATGTGTGTCTCGATAGACGATTCCGTCAGACTCAATGTGGACGTTGGACAAATACTGCGCTAAAGATCAGAGCGGCTGTATGCGGATGAAATCTCCCCCTCCTCTTCCCCCCCTCCTCCTCCTCCCCCCTGCTCCCACAGGATTGATTCAAAGTGACCGGGCCCATTAATACTTTGATACAATGTATCTGTCGCCGGTGACACGGCGGCGCGCGCGTTAACACGGAGGATCATATTTAAAACGGTTCCGCTCGGCACCCGGCGGAGGAATTAAAGCGCATGCGTTCTCTCATTTACTCTCTGTCTCCTCTTCATCTTCACATGTCCCCCCCCCCCTCCTCCTCCGCCGCCGCCATCCCTCTTCTGCCAGTGATTATAAAGGTCTTTAGATCTAAGGAATGAATGAATTACCAAAGGCACAGACAAGGCTTGTGATTTGGGCGCAGTGAATGAAAAATTACCCCTTTGTTCCCTTCATCAATTGCACGTCTAATGAAATCAAAATCCTGATCGCGTAATCACAAGATGGTCCTCCACCCAGAGAGAGACCCGATGTGATTTGTAACCTTTCTTTTCCTAAGTGGAGATTAGGGCAAAATCTCCCACACATTGTTCCCTGATGCAACTGACAGTCTTGGGAATTTATCACGGAGATCCAAGAAATTAACAACAAGGGAGAACGGACCCGTTGGTGCCGTTTTCCCAGACAGGACCGGCTCATCCGGGCTGTTTCTCAAGGCCCTTTGTGTGGCCCAACGACCCCCCCCCCCACCCCACCTCGACCCCCCTCCACCCGGCGCTCAGGGACGACGGCGTCCTCTGCGCTGTAAAGTCCTCCAGCGTTTGACTGATTGACCCGTGCTGACCCGGCTGCACGCCGCTAATGGTCCCCGCCCGCCCGTCTCTGGCACCGGAGCCCGCGCTCTGAGCCCGAAGAATGACCCCCGCCGCCCTCCGGGGGGGTTGACTTTGCTAATTAGTATTAATTACTCTTAAATCCTAACCCCTAAAAATCCAGTTAATGGCTTCTGCTGGGCCGCGGTGGCGCCGCCCGCTGGGGGAGGAGCTCTATTTTTAAACTTGAAAAAGGTGGAGGGACGCCGGCGCGACGGCCCTGTCCCGGTGACCCCCACCACGACCGCAGAGGATGAAATAGAACGAGGTCAGCGTCGAACACGGACGTTCTTCTATTCCCCGTTTAATAATCAATAGGGGGGTGGGTAATAGATTAATAATTAATAAGTAATACATTTCTCATAGGCGCTCATTACGTAAACTATCAGGCAGCTCATTTGCATTAAAGAAACATCCGGAAAGCAGATAATTAACCTGTGAGTCATTTTCATGATTAATCACAGTACAGTAATGAACCATCACACATTATACCTGTGATTTGTTTTACATTTGTTTAAATAGGTTAACATGACGTAGTATTAATTCCCATTGACAACCAAGAGAAATGATGAAGAGAAATGATGAAGAGTAGTTCTGAACTGGAGGTGCTGCGATTTGAAAGACGAGTAATTAGTCGGAGAAGTGAAAACTAACTCAGCCCTTTAAAATATACCGGTCACGTTAATGAAATACTTTATTATCGCTGGTAGCGCATCGCGGCGCTTGTGGTCGCCTGCTGGAGGCCGGTGTGCGTTTCCATGAAGCCCCGTGAAGCACGCCGCCCAACGCGCCACAGGCCGAAGACCCACCATCGCAAATACCTCCCGTGACGTCGCCCTTGTTGAGCCGGACGGAGGCGGAGGCTGAAATCCCACCGCCGAATCTCAGCTCCTGGTTTGTGCCAGAACGTCTTTCTCTCCGCGGCAAACGGTACCTGTGCTCCCGACGCCCAGCTGCAGGGCGCTGCGGTCCTTGGTCAGCCCGTTGCTTTTGGGACTGGCGGTGGGGGCGACGGTGGCCACGGCCCTGGGCGGTCGCTTCCCGGGAACCTTCACCGTGGTCCTCAGCAAGTCGATCTCCTTGCCGTGCACGTTCTGCATGTAGTCCTACCGACCGGTTAAAAGAAGACAAGCGCTGTGAAACAAAACCCATCTTAAGACCTTCCACTAAAAGGTGCATGAAAGGGGAAATGATGGCGCCGCCGCTGTACATCACGTGCGCCCACGCCGCCTCTCTCGCCGCTTGCCTTAATGGATGCAAACGGTCGCGTTCTCTTTCAATTTTGGGGCCCTTGATTTGCTTTAAAGCGACGACCGCCCCAGAATGCGGGAAGCGGAGGTGAAAATCATTGGGCTCAGCAAGAAAAAGACCCAAATAGGGGGGCGAGCTCGGCCTCTGCCGTCCCCCCCCCCCCCACCGGCTCCTCTGCTTTATTACCGTGCCATAAAGCACTCATTTCTCTCCCAAGCCTCCTCGCTAATTACCCAGTGAGCGCTCTCATTTCATTTTATTGCTGGAATTAACAGCCAGATCGAAGCGTGCAAAGCTATTAAGATGTGTGATTAAGCCACATTCAATTAGTTTCTACAAACAATTTAATTGATGTAGCAGATAGAATTAACAGAAGGTGATTGTGTGGATGGCTTGGCTGACTGCGAAATTAAAGGTTCCCCCACTTCCACTCTCAGTCTGCCTCCCCCCCCCCTCTCGCTCTCCCCCCTTTTCTCGCTCCTTCTCCGCTCCGCCGCTCGACAACGAGCCGGAGCGGTTGCCGCGGTAATGTAACCGTCTCCCCTCCTTCACCCTCCCTCCCGTAAGTCAACAGGTTCGCAGATCGCGGCGATGACCCGTAATCGCTGCGGTGATGGAGAGGCGGCCCGTCGTCGGCTCCATTACGGGACGCCGCTGCAGCGCCGCGCCGCTAACAACCGCCTGTAAATTAAAGCACTAACGCAGTGTCAGTGCGGCGCCGCGCATGCACACGAGAGGCCGCGGCTCGACTCTCGGGCCTGCGCGCCGAGCCCGGGGCCAGGTCATCGGACGCCAGGCGTCCCCCGTCTCTCGTTTCACCGGGCCGGGTTCTCCAAACGCGGCGGCCGCAGAGAAGAAATGGATTTGTGAGAAATGGCGGCACCAGGCCAGCCGAGCGGTTGGGAGGTGTTAGCGGACCAGCGGGACCCTGACGGGGGGGGGGGGGGGTGGAAGCGGGAGGCCTGGTCAGGCTCCGCTGCCGACAAGCGTTAAAAACACGAGCCGGCGTGGAGTCTGGGCGCGGCGGGCACAGGGGATGGGTGTGGGGGGGGGGGCCACTAGGAGGCCCCTGTTTCTTACAGACTTAATGCCAGCGGTCAGGTGATTCGGAACAACAACAAGCCCCTTTAGGAAAATCACCAGCCCTGAAATCCAGCCGCGGTGAGAGCGATGCCATCAACATTAAAACCAACACACGAAGCCGATTGAGGGGCCGGGGAGGGAAGGAGAAGGACGGCGGGGGGCTGACGGGGGGCTCAGACTCACATGTAAACTGGGGTGGTAAGTGAGGACGCCGTTATCACACAGCGTGACGTATTTCTTCTTCCACTCCTTGTTGAGGGATTTGCCACTTCGCTTCAGGAGGATTCCCTGTAAGAGACGGGGGGGGGGGGGGGGTATGAGTAAATACCACAAAACAGCATTATTATTGTCACACATTCGTCAGTTACGTGCGCTTTGTGTCAAAAAGTCATAAAGCAAACTGCATGGAAGTGATTATACATTTTTACATATCTGCTATTAAATCCCATTAACGTTCTTTAGTTCGTGTAATTTGGAGGCTGACGGGTTTAATGACGTGTTGGTTTTTCCATTGTGATCCTTTGAACCCTACAAAGCCGGCCGAGTTCCTGCGGCACGGAGCCCATTCAGAGGGGGAGACAATCCGATTTGCCGGACCTCCTCCCCGCATTCATGCACAGAACACGCTGAACTCTGCGAGACCCCCCCAATCCCGGGATTAGGGAGTGTGATCTCCCCTCTTCAAAGCCCACTCGCCTCTTATTCTATTCCGCTTTATCTTGCGGGGGCCCTTTGAGGCCATCACATGGTTTCCTTATCTGCCGAGTAAATCCGCCGGTAAACAATGCGGTTCCTCTGCTGGAGGTGTCCAAACGCCGCTGAGTGCAAAGGGGCACGGGGGTGTGGGGTTCCCCTCTCTCGCTCCAGAGAGAGGGTCGTGGGGTCACACCCCCCCAGGTGTTCCTCTTTATTTGGGAAAGGGGTTTAACCCCCTTATGGATTTCTCTCAATATTTGAAAGAGTAATGAAACATTTTTTTTAAAACTTCAGTATCTGAAAAGAATCCCTAAATATTTTGCAAAAAGTCATGAAATTCTATCTTTAGTCATATGAAGGGGGACTCCGGTGAGAAAACGTACTTTTGAATAAAAATCGAATTTTTTTCTAAATTGGAGTCATATGACATTCTAATGGCAGCAGTTGACACGGTACAGTGGTGTAGTGCTTAGCACTCTCGCCTCCCAGACAGATGCCTCGGGTTCAACTCCACCCAGTGGTGCCTCTGTGTTAGGTGGTGTAGGCTAAGCCTGCATGGGATTCACTCCACACTTGTAAAAGTAATGGAACATTTTTTTTTAAACTTCAGTATCTGAAAAGAATCCCCAAATATTTTGCAAAGAAGTCATGAAATTCTATCTTTAGTCATATGAAGGGGGAC